ACACAGCATGCTCAATCTTTAGTGGCTTCCTGTCTTTTTTCTTCCTGTAGAAAATTCCATGGGAGTATATGGCAGTAGCAGACTTTTCCTAGTTGGCAATTCAGTGTTCTGGCTGAAGTGAATCATTATTGGTACTCTGGTAGTTTCGTCAAAGGATTAATGGATGAACAGGCACAGAGACTTAATTGTACTCTTGGTAGAAGCCATCCTCTTTTAGCCTGCTTTTAGGTGCAGTAAGGGAGTGATAGGTAGAATTTCTTTTGCCTGCCTGTTGTTTTGTTTGGTTTTGGGATGATGTTTTTGTTTGTTTGTGGTGGTTTGTGGTTTTGGTTTGGTTTTTTGTTTGGTTTTTTTGTTTTGGTTTTTGGGTTTTTGGTTTTTGTTTTGTTTATTTTTTGTTGTGGGGTTTTTGTTTGTTGCTTTTTTGTTCGTTTTTTGTGGGGGGGGTGGGGGTTTTTTTGAGTGGGAGAGAAGAGTAAAATATCTAGGATTATCTATTTTTATTATAAAATTTAGGGACTGACAGTAATTTTGAACAAAAAACTAATAAGCAAAAATTGAAAGACTAAGAAATACATTTAAAAAAGCCCCAGTGCCTTATTGAAGATTTTTGTCCTACTGAAGATGGGAATTGATTTTTTTTAAATAATTCTGTCATGTAAAACTTATTAGGGATACTGAAAGCTTGCACGTAAGCCTCCACAGAGCGTGGGTTGTTTCTCACTTCTGTAAATGAAACCATACATAGGCACTATTTTGTATCTTGTGACTTGTCATACAAATTTCATGGTCTTAGAGCCTGTATTTATCTGTTACTTATGAAGGCTGTCAGATACTGTTCTGTTTAGTGGCAATTCTGGCAATTACTCATACAATTGTTTATCAATTACATGAAATCCAAAACTCCTTTTTTGACAGTATTAAAATTATTGGTTATGTTTTTTGAATTTGGTTGTCCTTTGGGTATTTTAAGTATTTTACTTCCTGTTTCTTTCAGTTGAGAAAGTAGCTAATGAAAGCCAGAAAACACCCAGAGATGTGGTCATGATGGAGAACTTCCATCATATTTTTGCAACACTTTCGCGCTTGAAAATTTCTTGTCTGGAGGCTGAGAAAAAAGAAGCCAAACAGAAATACACTGATCATCTTCAGTCTTATGTAATCTATTCACTTGGACAGCCTCTTGAAAAATTAAATGTAAGTATATTTGAGTATACATTTAAATGATACAGAATAGCTTTGAATGTTTAGTTTGCACTATTTGATCTCTTTATCACTGCCTCTATCATAATCTCTTATTATTTTGGATTGAGCATGTCTGGCAAGAGTACTTGACTCATGAGGGTAGCAGTCTTGGATGAAAATCAAATTTTTCATGGCAAATGATAGTACTGACTAAACATCAGTGTCTTAAGCAAACAGTTTTGAAGAAGGAAAAAGTGAAGGGAAAAGTAATCTGGAGCTTTGGGATCATTTTCTTTACTTCGGCTGCAGAGAAAATTACTGTAGTCTCTGAATTATTCAACAATAAGAAGAGTTCTAGGAAAGCTTTGTATGTGTGAAGTGTTAAGAGTGGTGACTTAGGTTCAGACTCAGTTCTGCCTACTGAATGTCTTCCACTGTTCTTTGCTTTTTGAGGCATCCATTTTGTGTGTGTGTGAGAGAGAGAGAAAAAGAGAGCAAGCCACCTTGAAGCCAAACACCATCCCTGCCCTCTCCTCCAACCCTACTTTTTGTTGTCGAGAATGACGTTATGTACTATGGTTTTATCAGGTTTGTCCAGTTCAGCAATAATAAAAACATTGTTATCAGCCCTGTTTTAGCCACAAATCCAGCACCATATGGGCTGCTATGAAGACACTTAACTCTGTCCTGGCCAGACCTGATGCACTTTTGTGGCTCTACCTGCATGTTCACAGAAATACTTCTCTCCATTTGTATTATGTTGAGCCAGCTGGTCAACAGCAGTGAGAAGTGAGGGCAATTGTGAACAGCTATGCTGTTGTGTAATTATGGTTTAAGTAGAGACGCTCAGGTGCTTAGTGAGTATCTGAAAGATCCAGTATTTTCCCAGGCTATAAGCTCATTAATTGAGGATTTTGAGGCTGAGTGATTATTAGTTATAAGGTTGTGAAGAAAAGCTTGAATGCTTCTAGAAATTATTTCAGTTTTATGCTAGGACTTGGAGCACTCTATTGTTGGGCTGTGTTTTAATGTCTATGGCTGAGTACTACTTCATTCCCAGTTAAAAAAAAACAAAAATGGGGGGGAACACAGCAGTCATGAAGCAGAATCAAGACTTAACTGCATATATCCTTGTCAAGTTAATTAGTTTAGGTTGTGGTAGTCATTAATGCTGTTATTTGTTGCTAGCACTTTTTTGAAGGCGTTGAAGCTCGCGTGGCACAAGGTATACGGGAAGAGGAAGTAAGTTATCAGCTGGCTTTCAATAAACAAGAGCTTCGTAAAGTTATAAAGGAATATCCTGGTAAGGAAGTGAAGAAGGGATTGGATAATCTCTACAAGAAGGTAGATAAACATCTCTGTGAAGAAGAAAACTTACTTCAGGTAAACTAAATCATGACTTAAAAACCTTATAATGTTTACACAGAGGATTTTTATTATTACTTTTACATATATGTTCTGTGAGAATGTTCAGCATAACTCTGAAAAAAACCATGAATTTTGAGTCAAGGTTTTTGGGTTATTTTATAACTCTTATTTGTTTAACATTGATTTGAAATGTGGTGGTAAAGTTCATAAAGAAAATTCCTCTATGATTCCCTAGCTGACCATTAAGAGGTGATCTCTGTTCTGCAAAATATACTGGAAGTAGAGATAACTAGATTTAAATGCACTGTTAACCTGATGCAAAATTGAGTTGGTGCACACAGCAGAACACACTTGCAGTTACATCTTTTCTGATCGTTGCATTATCTAATGCTTTTGTTATACTCTGCAAATTTCTTACTAGAGTAAATGATAAATAGATTTATGAGTTAGGCTTGTTTAAACAGCTGTTTAAAATCTGAAACGTGAATTACAGCATGGTTTTGGTTCAGGGTGTTTTCTTGAAAGACAAAAGCTATACCTCTTTCAGGAAAACTTCCTCATCTTTATTATTTTCTGCTTTGCACATTTGGTAGGAGTCATGTAAACATTACAGATCTTAAAGGGTGAAAAACATCAATCTTTTTATGTAATGCAGGAACTCCATTTATGGAACTTTGTCAGCCAAGTTTTAAATGGAAAATGACACCTGAACTGAGAATGAATGAATGAGGCATTGTTTTGTAGTTCATATATGTAGCGTATTGTGCCAGTTGACTTTTCCTAAAGTTTGCTTTCTTTGGCAGGTTGTGTGGCATTCCATGCAAGATGAGTTTATACGACAATACAAGCACTTTGAAGGGTTGATAGCTCGCTGCTATCCTGGATCAGGAATTACTATGGAATTCACTATACAGGATATTTTAGACTACTGCTCCAGTATTGCGCAGTCTCATTAAGTTCTCGAAAGGGAAAGAGAAGCTAGCAAAATAGGTGCCTGTGTATAAGGAATTCAAACACTATAAATGCTATTTAAAAAGTGGATTTCCAGTCGTATGTGTAGTTAACTGCCATATCTGTTGAGTTACACTCCACTTCAAATGTCTTTAGGGCAAAATGAAACGGGATTTGTTTTTCTTCTACTGGGCTGAAGTACTGTTTGAAAGCATTAATTCTGTGAAACACGTTGGACAGAATTTTTCCTTTCCCCTAATATTCAGATATTTTATTTATAATTCCTCCTCGTGCTAGAAGCAGTAAGCACTACCTTCTTAGCATGCAAAAAGGATACTACTGTTTTCACTAATATTTTGCATCTTGGAAATTATGTAAGCATTGAAGACCATCAAATATTTTCCCTTCCTTGTTCTAGGAAGTCTAGATGTGGAATTTTATGCAGGGGAAGACTGAATTTGTTTTCTGAGTTGTAATGTGACTATGGCTATTATTCCCCATTAAACTATGTTCATCATATTCTTTAGCTCTGTGGAGTGTTATTTCAAAAAGGTGAAAACAGAGTTAATTCCATTGTATTGTCTCTGGCCATTGAAGTACATTTGCTCCATTTCTCCAAGTGTTGTTTTTCTTCCTTTTAGCATCAGTATACTCCCACCTCCTGCAAGCCCTTCATCCTCCTGAAGCTTCAGATGCTGGGGATTCAGGACATAGATCTTCTCTACAGCTTGATGAAAGTGCCAAGTTGTTTGATAGAGATGGGGTGTATATAGAATAGAAACAGGTACAATAAAGGAAAACAAGCAGACAGATGTTAAGATTATGGTTTTTGAGATGCAGATGCAAGAATAAAAGACTAGGATGAATGAGAAAGTTTTTCCTTCTGAGTTTTGTAACAAACATGCTATGTGACAACTCAGGAACATTGAGGCATCTGGATTTCACAGAATGGTTTGGCTTGGAAGGGACCTTAAGATCATCTAGTTCCAACCCCCTGCCATGGGCAGGGACACCTTTCACCAGACCAAGTTGGTCAGAGCTCCATCCACCCCGGACTTGGAACACTTCCAGGAATGGGGCATCCACTTTCCTAGGCAACCAGTTCCAGTGTCTCACCACCCTCACAGTAAAGAACTTCTTCCTAATATCTAATCTAAACCTACCCACTTTCAGTTTGAAGCCATTACCGCGTGCCCTAGCACTACTTGCCCATATAAAAAGTCCCTCTCTATCTGTCTCGTAGCCTCCCGGAGCCGGGCTCTCTTCGGGCCGGTCCCTCCTGTCAGGGTTTTACCGGAGCGCTGGGGGATCTGCAGCAGCCCCTCTCCCAAGGTCCCCCCGCCGCTGGCTCCGGGGCCCAGGGAAGACAGGAACGTTCCGCCCCCGCGCGAGGGCTGCTGGGTGGGCAGGAAGGGAAGGGCAGGAAGGGAAGGGCAGGAAGGGAAGGGCAGGAAGGGAAGGGGCGTGCAGGGAAGGGGCGGGCGGCTGGCGGGGCAGGCGCGTCCCCGCCGTTGCTGAGGGGACGGGGCGGAAGCGGCCGCTGCTCCGCGCGCCATTTTCAAAGGTTTTCAGAGGCCGGGACGTCGCGGCCGCTCGGCAGCGGCTCGGGCTGGGAGCGCCTGGTTCCGGCGGTGAGTGTGTTTCGGCCGGCCCGGAGGGAGGGCGGGAAAGGGAGCGTAAGCCTGTTTACAAGGGGACCGACCGCGCCTCCGTAGGTAGAGGCTGGGGTTGCTGAAAGGTCTGCAAAGCTTCCCGTTTGAGGAGACAGGTGATGAGCAGGCACATAATCGGTAGGTTTTTCTTGTGCTGTAGTGTGAACCTACAGGGTTTGGTGACAGGCTGCCCAGGGAGGTCGTGGAGTCTCTGTCTGGAGACATTCCAAACCCACCTGGACGCGTTCCTGTGTCACCTGCTGCGGTGACCCCGCCTTGGCAGAGGGGGTGGACCAGATGATATTCAGAGCTCCCTTCCAGCCCTAACGATTCTGTGACTCTCTAGGGAAGAAATCTGGTTTTCTAGAGCAAGAGTTGGCTTTCCATTGGCAAAGTACTGGCATTTCACAGCAGACGTAGTGTATGAATTTCTAGTCAGAAATGAGTTCCCAGCAAATCCACTTGGAAGCAGACTTTCCTAAAACAGGCGCTGGCTCATTCAGTGTATCTTGAGCAGATGTTGCAGCAGCATCTTGTCTCAGCACAGCCGTCAGCGCCCCTGGGCTGTCTAGAGCCACCTGTTAAAACATTGTTGTAGTCAAATGGTTGGTCCACTGGGTGCCTTTTGTACCTGGGTGAAAGTAGAACCAGGTCTTTATAGTGGGATGAGCTGTGCGACCCGGACAGGAACACACTGTAAACCTATTTAACGTACGTGCAAAAAAAAGGAAAAAGCCTTTAACGTACAAGTTTTGTTGAATGAAAAATGCATTTTGGTCTTTCCCAAAACTGAAAATGGAAAATCCTGTTCATAATTGTCGCTGGTATTAATGTTACAGACTCAATTAAAAAAAAAATTCCTAGCATATACATTTATCCGTAGTAATTTCTTTGTGTTCCATTGTTAGCGATGTAGTTTAGTATTCCACAGAGCTCACTGACTGTATTATTTTTTCCACAGCCAAAATACACCTTTGCTCTGCTTTTTTATTATTCCACTTTCTTACTGATAACACAGATATTGCATCTGCAGCAGTTCTTAACCTGTAGTCACCATAAATTTTGCTGTTCTCAGGCTGAAAGGAGGGCTTCAATGTGCTAAACCTTTTCTGTTTCATATTCTACCTGTAATGGTTAGTCTAATACCTGTTACTGTTGCTTCTTTCACACAATGCTGTGCAAATTGATTCACTACTGAAAGCCCAAACTGGATGGATTTAAGATTCTGTTATTGACCGTCTTTCATGTCAGGGGTCAATTTCAGACATTGGTGACTTAGAACAGTGGGGAACAGTTCATAGATGCTAACTCTGTCTATTTCATAAACATGTAGGCCTTCAAAAGACTGCTCACAACCATCCAGGTATGTTATAAAATGAAGCATGTGAATGTTGTCACTTTTAGCAGTCTTTGTGAACAAAGGGGAACAGAAAATGAGGCTATTGGCTCTGAATATCTCTTCAGTGAACAACTGAAAGATGCACTCCTTTAGACATATTAATAAATCCTGGTCTGGAAATGCCCAATTTAAACTACCATTTAATTTTCCCTTTCCTACTTTTCATCTAAAATGGAAATTACATTTTCTTCTCAACAGCAATAAATTACATGAAATATTTAGACAATGAATGATGTGAACTATTTATGCAGATAATGTAGCCTATCTCATGGGAAATACCAAAGTTGTTAAGAGTACTTTCCAGTACTTTGCAGTTCAATGTACCTTTCATCGTGACTCAGCTGTGATTTACAAGGATATTAAGTTTCTTTATATAAAAACATATTCTGGATTGCGTTGACTTGGTAAGAATTATGTAGAAAACTTGGATTTCCAAAAAGCCTTTTTGAGACAGTTCTTTACCAAAGGCTTTTAAGAAAGCAGATCTCTTTCAAAAAATGGAGAAAAAACCCTAGTGGTTAAAAGAAAGTGTAGAAAGTACTACTTTCCAGTGAATATGCAGAAGATTGTCTGCTGTTTAACACTGACTACTGCTGTGAAAGAATGGGTTAAACTGAAAGGGACAAAATTTGCTCATTATATGGACATGATAAGTACAGTCCAAGGGTTGCGGAAGAGCTTTGCTGGACTGAGTAATAAAGCAGGAGGTAAGAAACAGTGTTAATGAAGGCAAAGTGATGCACATTATGGTCTTTAAAGTGGCAGTAACCACTCAGAGAAACGTTAGTGTCACTGTGAATACATCTAATCAACACTTAAGAGCAATCAGAAAGACCAAATGTCCTGGTTCAGCTGGGATAGAGTTAATTTTCTGTCTAGTAGTGTTGTGTTTCAGATTCAGTTTGAGAATAATGTTGATAGCACACTGATGTTTGGGGTTGTTGCTAAGTAGTGTTTACTCTAAAGCAAAGGACTTCTCAGTGCCAGTGACGAGGTCCACAAAAAGCTGCGAGGGAGCATAGTGGGGACAGCTCATCTGAGCTGGCCAAAGGGATATTCCATACCATAGAACATCGTGCCCAGTGTATAAACTGGGGGGGGGGGTTGCTTGGAAGAGGGGCTGATCGTGGCTCAGGGACAGGCTGGGCTTCAGTCATCAGGTGGTAAGGAATTGTATTGTGCATCTCTTGGGTTTTATCAATCTCTCTCCCTTTCCTTTTTATATCAATTATTATTATAAGTAGTACTAGTAGTATTATTATTTTACTTAGTTTCAGTTGTTAAACGGTTCCTATCACAGTCCACAAATTTTACTTTTCTCTCCCTGATTCCCCTCCCCATCCCTGCGCAAGTCGGGGGGGAGTAAGCAAACAACTGTGTGGAACTTAATTGCCAACTGGGGTTAAGCCATGACAAGCACTGATCAGTAAAATTAAAGAATGGGTTAAACTGTCTCTAAAGTGTCAGTAACCGTTCAGGGAGATGTGTCACTGTGAATGCATCTAATTGATGCTTTTATGGCTAAGCTTCGGGAAAGAAGATTTGGGAGGGACTCTACCCCCGCTTGCTGATGGCTAAAAAGGCCAATGCGAGATAAACAATTGATGCTTTAGAGTGATCAGAAAGGCAAATGGTAAGTTAAGAATCAATATGAATAGTAAAGTCTACAGCAAAGAATCTTTATGGCTGCTCAAAGGAAGGTCTATCAGGTACTTTTATAATGATTTCAGTTCTCCTTTAGGCCCATCAAATCCCTGCATTGTAGGCTTAGAGAAAGAGAATGTGTGTAGGCGTAAGACTTGACTCATGTTTCTTAGGTTTTTATACTCCTGTTGTGGCAACTGTCAGAGACACAGGATAGTGGGTCAGACAGGTCTTGGATTCAACTGAATCAGTACAGCAGTTCACATATTAATTTTATATTTCCAGAAAAACAAATTTTCCTGATGGAGAAGTTACTGGATACTTTCTGATGTCATGATAAGACTAGTGATAGACTAAGTTTAGGATGTGATATTTAAGTTATGGTCTGTAATGACAGAGGTCTGGAATTACTGACAGATAATTTCTTTTCAAAAATGCATGTACAAAAATTATTGTCTTTGAAGACTTTAATATCTGTGTTAAACTCTCTGAAATAACAGCTCCCAATTCTTTTTATTGTAATTCCTGGACACCTTTGGGACCTATACTCCAGCTATTAATTTCCTGGGCTTATTGTGGGTCAGATGTGGCTCTAGGGAATGTAAGATAATACCCTTTCCTGTTTGATTCTGGTGACAGTAATGAGTTGAATTAAAAATTTCAGTCTTTAGGAAGGAGAGGGATTCCACCAGAAAGTTGTCGGTACCTTGCAATATTGGAGTATGTTTAGATAACTCCACCTTAAATGCCCATTGCAGTGATTTAGCAGTATTCTGTATGTACTTCCTAGCCACAGTTTCTGGAGCACAAACATCTATCCATTTATTTCTCTCCACAGTTACTGCAGAAAGACTTTATCCCTGTACAAACTGTGACACAATTTTGTTCTTGATGTTTCTTCTGTAAAACTCTCTCGATGTGATTAGTAAAAAAATCTTTGCTCTTTCTAAAACACGAGCTTTTAAACCAAATCTGATTAATGATTTTAAAGTAATTTAATCTTTTTAACTGATACAGTTCTTCTTAAGGAGCAGATTAGCTTAGGAGTTATCCGTTTACTCTTGTAGTAGTGTAAGATGTATTCCTGAACCTAAATCTAGACACAGTAACACTATCACTGTTTTCCTGAATTCAATACAGAATCCTCAACATCAATGCAGAAATACGAAGATCTCATTACTTTTAGCTTTAATCTTTGGCTTCCAGAGGAGTACAAAGAGCATTTACTACACATCAGGATATTGACTTCCACTTAGTGCACTGACAGTTACCGTTTAGTGGACAGAAGTGTGCTGCTGCCTCCTCCAGCCATCCCAATACGGTATGTAAGGGTTTGTTCTTCCTACCATTGCTTAGTTAATATCTCAACATCCTGAACCTCTTCAAGCAAATATTTTTGGTAGCACCTGGAACAGGTGCTGTGCTTGTAAGACTGGTGATTTTCTCTCATCATGGAGCAGTACCTGGCGACCACAGACTTGTTGCTTGACTTGTAATGTTTTAATAAAATGAGATGAAATCTTCCCAGCCTTCGACATGAGAGAAACTTGCATGTTTTCTCATTTCATTATTAATAAATAATTTTATTTTCAAATACCTGCATATATTTCTTTAATGTATTTTTTAAAATCTAGAGGATTGTGAAAGAGCATGGTTTGGATGATATCTGTATTCTGTCCCTTTCATATGAGATGCAAACAACACTTCCTCAGAGTGGTAGTTTGTCTGCTGAAGTCTTTGCAGGCAGTAGGTTAATACTAAAACTTCTGAAGAAGGATGAAGGAAAATATTTTACAGAAGTAACTATTTTTAAAAAATTTTTCTAACTATTGAAGAGAGATTTTCACATATGTAAGAGTTGATATGCACGCAGGTAACCCCGGGTACTAAGCCATAGCTACGGTATTAAGGAAAAGTTTATTCTGAAGTCAAAAATCCTGCTTTTCCCACAGACAGGCAGAGAGATAAATACAGTGCTATTCATGGGAAAGAAGGTTCTCCCATGCTGGGCCTTTCCTGGAAGCAAAAACTTCCTTGAGTGAAAATTTTTTTATCCTCCTCGAGTAAATCTTCTGCATATAATTTTTTGGTCCCTACTACATATGAAGAAACATCAACTTTAGTACTTGATTTTTTTTTTCTCATTCTATGTCTAAATCCAGAAGGACCTAATGATCTAAAAGTTCCTATTCCCTCAAATGTACATGGCAAAACCAAGATTATCATCTGGATTCAGATATAGTAGTGCTGCTCCAGTCCCTTTCAGATCAGTTTAGTAATAAAAAGGTAACTAATTAGTCAGTTGGAAAAAAACAACCCTCTGATCCTTGAACTGTATATTCCAGAAAAGGATGCAGGTAGGACTACACCAGTGGTTTCTTTTCTTCCTTGTTTTTTGTCATAGAAAATAAATGTTCAAAGTTAATCCGTCTGTAACATTTTACACATTTTATGCAGTTTTACAAATGGTTGGCATAAGTTATGTTAAGTACTGGCTGGTAAACTTTGTAAGTAAGATTTATATATGAAAGAAAAAAATACATGGGTTTTTTGAAAATTACCTATCAGTTTGCCTTGTGGAAGATACAATGATGACCATGATTCAAAAGAATCAGAATTTAATGAGAAAACTAACTGCCAAGGCAAGTATATCTTTTTAAAGAAATATGTAAATATGTTTAAAACCTTTTAGTTGCTCTGTGATCCTCGTTTGGTTTACTTAAGTTTTAAGGACATGCTTATGCACTGTGTTTTCTATGCAAAAAAATGCTTTTTTCCATAACTTCTTTTTTCTGTATTATTGCTGTAACCAACGATCTTTTTCAGGTGTCCATTTTTCTTGACTGTGACAAAAGCTGCTGCTTTGGAGGTGTGTTTACAATGAGTACAAATGCAGAGCGAAGGTTCACTAATCTCAGGAAACGTCTAGATCAGCTGGGCTATCGGCAACCATTGGGATTGGAGAGTTTGCCCTTGGTGGAAAAACTTTTTAGGTATTCAAAAGAAGATTAATTAAAAAAAGTAATCATGTAGTAGGTATTGTTTGATTTTTGACATATGAGGAAGAATGCTTAGTCTGAAGATCACTTTCTGTCAAAGTTATTTCAGACCTAACATTAAGTTCCTGTGTAGATGAAGTCAAATGGGTTTGCTTAAGTGATGAGAACATTGTAAGATTTAATCCAATAGAATTGTTTTCTGTGGTCTAGGAAAATTCAACTTTTCTAACCTCATAAGAGAGCGAAAAATAGTCACTGTTGATGTGTGCTTAAAGGACACACTCTTATAACTGGTTGTATAAAAAATAGTCTGTTGTCTGATCTGTGACTTAAAACATTCACGTCTCCATCTACTGTGATCTCATTCAGAGAAATTTAAATTTGCTGTCTCTGCACTTTTTACAGGACAGATAACAGAAAAAAACCAGATTTTCAGATTACTTTCTTAATATATCTGCCATTTCATGGCTTCAATGAAATTATGAACATAGTAATTTCCACACTAATCCAGTTATATTTGGCTATACATGCAAATGTAGGTATTCTGATTCTTTTGCTCTCTAGCATGTAATACAGATGGAAGAACCATAGGGACACAGGTGTGGAGTAGTCTGCCTTCAACATAAAGTCTTATTCTGGTGTCTAGAAGATAGTTTTACTTTCCCCATCCCTATCTTTGATGTTATTTTCACAAAAATGTTTATAGTTTATGTACCACTAATCTCTCTTACGGTACTTGTACTTCTGATCCCTATATAAGTACTAGTGACCTTCTGTGTTAAGTGGTGCTAGAACTTGCAAAGTGCTTGGAGGAAAAAATCATCTTGCCAAATGTCACTTTATGTAGAAAAGAGAGTATATTGAATTATCAGATCTAAACTCCTGATATGCTTTCTGTCTTTTTTTTTTAATATTTGTCCTGCTGTTTCCTATTGACTTTTTTTTTTAAACAAATGGTTCCCGTCTTTCAGTTTCTCTTACATGAATGTTTTGTTTGCCTTTGTTCAAACCCATTTGTTCCCCCTCTTGGGGAACAGATTTTGTTTCTCGGGTCACAATAAACGTTTGCATCTGCAGTGTAAAGACTGATAACAGTGCTAACACATCTGATGCTCCTTTATTCCAGTGACTTAGTTCATACAACTGAGAGCTTGCGCAGTGCAAAGTTATCTGCTGGAAAAACTGAAAAAGAATGCAGCAATTATGATACCATTTTGGAACCTTATAAAACAGAAAATGCTAAACTTACCAGGGAAAATAATGAACTGCATTTAGAAATATTAAAACTGAAAGAGCAGTCTGATCGTCATGTTAAAGGTAATATAAAAATTATGATACTCTTTTTAATTCTTCCATGCCAGAATGGAATTGTGACCAAATCCTTGATCTTCAGATTGATTTATCTGCACTTTTAAGTGAGTGGGAGTGGTCACTGAGGCTGGTGCCTTTAATGAACTAAGGCTTATGCTGAGACATTTCTTTTGCAGTTAAAAAGCTTCTGAATCAAACATGAGAATGTTATAAATTTTAACACATGCTTTCATACCTTGAATTGGTACTTTTTGGTTTAAAATTAAATACTACTGTTAAATGTGCCTTTATTCCACAGTGGGGGGTTATTTACCAAACATGTAAAAATATTTTTTTTGGTATGTAAATGTTTGCACATATGTATTTGTATTTGATAATTTCATGCTATGGGAAAAGAATATAGGATTTTCTTTATGCCTATTTTGGTCCAACTAGGAAAAGTAATAGTGAATGAGAGAGATAATACTGCTTTTCTCTCCCTTGAAGACTTGAAAGCCTCCCTAAGGAGGGCTGAACATGGAACTTCTGACTTGAAATTTCTGAATAACCAATATATACATAAAATTAAAATGTTGGAAAAAGAGAACAAAGCCAAGACTGAAAAAATTCAGCAGCTTCAGGAGAAGAATCTGCAAGCAGTGGTGCAAACACCTGGTGAGTGTACATAATCACAGATATTTTAACGTTTTTCTGGGCTTTTTTGGATCTGCAGAACATAGTATTTTCTTCCTCTAGTAAGAGAAGGTATTGCAGTAGAATATCCAGTAGAATAACATTATCTGTTAAAAGGTTTGGCTCTGAATTCAGTCATTTCTCCGTATGAAGTTTCATTGAGTCATCACTTGTGTTAGGGACAAATTTGAATCCAAACTTAGATTCAGTAGAAGACTATGAAGTTAAAATATGACTAGAAAACACTAATAATCAACTTTTTTTTTTTGTTTCTGCACCTAATTTAGTCAGAGGCAGGTTGTTTGACACTTGAATATTTTTGACAGGTAATTGATGTTGTGTGACTAATTCACATTTTTGTAACAAAGATCTAAAAATAGCAAGATGCAAAATACGTCTACAAATATTCCAACCCTCTGAAAACTTACAGTGTTTAAAGGGTCTTTTGTTAGCTTAAAATGTTCTGTCTGGCTGTTACTTTCAGCTTAATTTCTTTCTGTAGGGTTTCCTTTTTTTAATGTTTTTCAAGCTGAGGGAAATAGAATTATTTTGGGAAATTTTGAAATTGTCTTTTCTCTCCAAGTCATTGAGTTATCTATGTATTTTGGGCATCTGATAAAAGTTAATAGATTATTAGGTAAAATTAAAATTTCTCTTTATTTTTCCACACCTTTCTGCACTACATGTCCTCTGTTTCAAAGATGACATGTTACACCTTTGTCTGTCTTCCTGCATACTTGACCCTTGGTCAACAGTCCTCTGGGATTTTTCTTTACTACATCATCCAGTATTGTATGTTCTTATTTAATGATTTGTTGAAGAGTAATTGTTTCATCTGGAAATGATACTGTGTTTTGCTTTTTAAAAAAAATAATGTTATGATGCAATGAAAGAACAAAGTGTGCTTGATATGCTTATGATATTCACTGAAATGACAATAGAATAGAAAGAATAAAAACATCACCAAGCAATGCAGGGGTCAGTTCAATCATAAAAGAGTTCTTAAATGTGGAGGGAAAAGTCTTTTATGATGTTTTAGCTTTGTTCATAAGGTAAATCACTAACAGATTCAACGAGTTTGAACTGTAAATTATTTAGGGTCTTCAACACTGGGGAAAATTACTTATACTAAACTTTGCATGTTTCCTCATTATAAAGGTAAACTTTAACAAAACTGATATAAACCTGCAAGAATAGTGTTGTCTAAAATGGATAAATTTTATCAAGTCATTACAGAAAGATTAAAATGGTGAAATGTGCCTGTTCAGAAGCAGTACAATAAATAGGAAAAATAATTTTGTATTAAAGAAAATTATTCTCTTGCTTTAACTCCAAGTAATAGACCTTTGGGTTTGGGCTTTCAGGAGGCAGAAAAAGAAGCATTCCCTTCAGGCGTCAGCGCATGCAGATAGACCAGCTTGTGCCCCCATCAGGTGTCAGTGCCTACCCAGTTCCTCAGCCAGAGGACCCTTATATTGCAGACCTTCTTCAAGTGGCTGATAATCGGTAATGTAAAGAACTTCTCATTTTGAACTATAGCTGTACCTTTGATTCTCACTATATTGCTCTTTGTGAAATGTTTGGGTTCAGGAGCAAAGAGAAAATACTTATATGCAATTGCATACACACAATTCTTCCATGAATCCACATAAACAATATGTTGCTACATTTCAGAATTCATGAACTTCAGTCAGAAGTGACAGAGCTACAAGAAAAACTGGAGGTATCTGAATGTGGAATGAAAAATTATAGCAAACAAGTATGTTTATATCATCATTATTTTTGTTGTTAGTATTATCCAACTGTAGTAACCATGGCAATGGCTTTCATGTTTTAAAAATCTTGTTGCGAAGGCACTGTAAGGCTTGTAAAATACAATTATTCTAACTTACCTATGTTGAGCTGTTTCTCTCTTCTGCTTTTGTAGACAGCAGCAATGATGAAATGCTTGCCCAGTGTTTTTGCTGATATATTTTGTGTATTAAAATTACATTAAATAAGCTAAACTTGACAATCGTAGGTAGAAGTTGTGTATGGTTTTTTTAGTGCATAAGTGTTAACTTCTCCAAAATAGTAATTTGACCTAGAGATATCTTAGAATGACTTTTTCCACTGATTGGACTGAATATATTTTTAAAATTTTTAATAGTTAATTTATGAACAACAAATTTTACAATATTTTAATTAGAGTGAATTGATAAGATATGTACAATCTTAAAGTGATGGAATTGCATAAAATATTCATATGTTATGTCTTTCAATATCTAGGGATTGATGGACACCACCCTTTTTTTTTCCTTCACATCTTGTTTTTCCCATTCCAGTATTTCTTTTTTTCAGTGACTGGAATAGTCACTAAGCTCATTTAAAAGCCTTTTTCCTAAATTTAAGGGCTAGTCTCAGACAGTTATATTGCAACATTCATTAACTTCACTCAAAATGGAAATTCTTTGGTTTTCTTCAAGAAAATAATCTGATAGAAATTGTTTCAGCTTTTCCCTGCAAATGCTGTTTGATTAATTTGTTTTTCTTTCAAAGCAATCACTTTTTTTTCAGAAGAACCCAGAATTAAAATATGTATGTCTATATATAAGATAGAAATTACATTTTTAGATGCATATCTTTTTACTGAATGTTACATATGTGTTTATTAAATGGTATTTAAGATACATAGAAATTTTTTTTTTTCTCCCTCAAAGGTTGAGCTAAGAGACAAAGAAATAGAGCGCCTGTTGCTGGCATTGGATGGTGGGCGTTCTCATGAGGTTCTCTCTCTGGAATCAAGAACTAAAAGTAATGAGAAGCTTATTGCCCACTTGAATTTGCAGGTAATGGATTTATTACACTTGTTTAGTCAAAACTAAAAATATTAGCGATTTAAACAAACCCACAAAACTTCTAGCTCTTCAGATGAAATCACTATAGATATTAAATTAATCTATTTAATTTGCCTTTCTTCTTAGGTGACAGTGTTTCTTGTCTAAGGAAATTTCATTTCTCGATTTAAAAGTCTGTCAGAAAGGTTTTGGTAAAGAATTCTATTAACTTGCATCTCTGCTTAGTATGTCAAGCTGAAAGTAATCAGCAAATTTCTGTATGATACACTGCTTTCACCCAATTAGGAAATACTTTTATTTATTTATTAATGTACATGCCATTTGTGTTTTAGGAACTAACAATGGTATATGTGCTTATGATAAGGAGTAGCCGTGTAGATACTCTCTCAGAGAGTGGGAAATCTTCCTCATTGAACTCAAATGTCCCCACCTTTATTCCAACAAAGACTTGTGAGGAAATGATAAGCTTAGGATAAAGATGTTTGTGTTTACTGTGCATATTATCGTGCATTCAGTCTCAGAATCGTGCGTTGGTCTCAGAATGAGAATTTAAAAAATAGAAGATGGGCTGGAGTACAAATCAAGTAAAACCCATCTCTGGATATGTGCCATCAATTCTTTGCTTTTTCTAACTGGGTTTGATGTTTTGTATACTGATTGTGTATAATGTACAGTGGCATGGGAGCCACGTTGGAGAATTTTTTAGCTCATGTTCAGTGCTGCAAAAATACAGAATGAGCTGTGACTTGGAAGCAGTACAGCTGTGTGCAGTGATTCTGAATTAGTAAGTCATGATGAACACAAATTGGTTGTACAGAGAGTGAGCCCAGAGCTGCGTGAAGCTGATTTTGGACCATCAGGACTATTTGCTCAGGCTCAGTCCCAATATAACACTTTTATTCTGTAACAAGAAATGTATGAATATCTTCATGTAGCAGTATTTAAGAATGTGAGAGAGCTCAGAATCTCTTCTGTGTCTACAGTAATTCTGGAGTTTTGAGGAAGTTTGTGTGGAGGTAGAAGTGGGGAATCTCTGTTATCTTGAATCTTTAAAGATACTCAAGGCTCCCATTTCCCGGGTAGTGTAACCTAGAGTGTATATTTGTTATTCCTACTCCACATCCCTGCCCCTCTTCACTTTGCTCTTGAGGAATGGTATTCTGGGAAAAACAATGTCTGTAGAGCTGAATTTCTGAGCATGTGTTTAAGGTGCTGAGATATGTTAGGGGCAAGATAGGTTTTAGGCATCTGATCTGTAAGGCTTCATTTTGATGAAGGAGTAACAGTGAGACTAAACCTATCAAATAATACCACAGATGTGGAGAGAAGAATGTGCTCTTGTATCTTGTGAAACTTAGAAAACTGATTACACTGAGCCTACCAGCCTGATGCCCAAGAAAGGTTTCTATACAGATCTCTGCTTTTCAATATTTTGCTTTTAGAGTAAACCTCAGGTTCAGGAGATTAGAAAAAGAAAGATGTAGTGATACATTCCTTCACCTTGCACCTTCAGTAAAATAATATTTTTTTCCATGTTGATAAACATTAAGTTTTAAAAATAGAAAATATTGCCATTTTTAGTAGGACATCACTTTTTTACTGTGGATATGGAGAAACAATATTTCAGAAGTTTGGGAGGAACTTTTGCTACTTAGTTTAACAATGCATATGAATATTTTAATGAAAAATGTCTTTCAGGTTGAGTATCTTCATAAAGATGTTTGTGTTTACTGTGCATATTATCGTGCATTCAGTCTCAGAATCGTGCGTTGGTCTCAGAATGAGAATTTAAAAAATAGAAGATGGGCTGGAGTACAAATCAAGTAAAACCCATCTCTGGATATGTGCCATCAATTCTTTGCTTTTTCTAACTGGGTTTGATGTTTTGTATACTGATTGTGTATAATGTACAGTGGCATGGGAGCCACGTTGGAGAATTTTTTAGCTCATGTTCAGTGCTGCAAAAATACAGAATGAGTTGTGACTTGGAAGCAGTACAGCTGTGTGCAGTGATTCTGAATTAGTATGTCATGATGAACACAAATTGATTGTACAGAGAGTGAGCCCAGAGCTGCGTGAAGCTGATTTTGGACCATCAGGACTATTTGCTCAGACTCAGTCCCAATATAACACTTTTATTCTGTGACAAGAAATGTATGAATATCTTCATGTAGCAGTATTTAAGAATGTGAGAGAGCTCAGAATCTCTTCTGTGTCTACAGTAATTCTGGAGTTTTGAGGAAGTTTGTGTGGAGGTAGAAGTGGGGAATCTCTGTTATCTTGAATCTTTAAAGATACTCAAGGCTCCCATTTCCCGGGTAGTGTAACCTAGAGTGTATATTTGTTATTCCTACTCCACATCCCTGCCCCTCTTCACTTTGCTCTTGAGGAATGGTATTCTGGGAAAAACAATGTCTGTAGAGCTGAATTTCTGAGCATGTGTTTAAGGTGCTGAGATATGTTAGGGGCAAGATAGGTTTTAGGCATCTGATCTGTAAGGCTTCATTTTGATGAAGGAGTAACAGTGAGACTAAACCTATCAAATAATACCACAGATGTGGAGAGAAGAATGTGCTCTTGTATCTTGTGAAACTTAGAAAACTGATTACACTGAGCCTACCAGCCTGATGCCCAAGAAAGGTTTCTATACAGATCTTTGCTTTTCAATATTTTGTTTTTAGAGTAAACCTCAGGTTCAGGAGATTAGAAAAAGAAAGATGTAGCGATACATTCCTTCACCTTGCACCTTCGTAAAATAATTTTTTTTTCCATGTTGATAAACATTAAGTTTTAAAAATAGAAAATATTGCCATTTTTAGTAGGACATCACTTTTTTACTGTGGATATGGAGAAACAATATTTCAGAAGTTTGGGAGGAACTTTTGCTACTTAGTTTAACAATGCATATGAATATTTTAATGAAAAATGTCTTTCAGGTTGAGTATCTTCAGCAGAGAAACAAAGAACTTGAAAATCGCATTCAAGAGCTCTTGGACACGAAACAAAATGTGACTAGTGAGGTGGTGCATTTAAGCAATAAAAATGAAGAACTGTGTCAAGAACTGAATGAAATAGATCACTTGGCACAGCAGTTGGAAAGACACAAGGAAATAGTGCTCGAGACTGCAGATAAGGAAATAGGAGAAGCAAAGGTAACCACTAACGTGTCACAGAGTGAAGGATCTGCTCAACTTTATTTGGCTTTATGTCTTCTACTTGCAAGGAATGACCTATTGGCTTGTGAAAGGAAGACTAAAAGATATTTTTTTCCAGTTTACTTAATATTATACAGAATTTCTCACTAAAGGATGATTAATTACAACAGTTTTATCTCTTTATTGTACTAGGTGAGATGAGTTTAGTTGAGCGGCAGTCTGTCTTTCTTCTTCTAATAGCTTAGGATGAAATAAAATCCTGAGATACTTGAAAGTTTTGATAGGCAATATATATTTGCAACAGCAATGCATATGTTTGGAGGGGTTTTCCTCTATGAGGAGTGATGCAGCGATTCATTTAATTGTTGTACTCCAAAAGAGCATTGGTGTTTATACCACAAATTTTTTGTGCTTTCAGTTCATAGGAACTTCACTAGTTTATTACAGAGAACTAATTATACTTTTATTTCTTACCAAAATAGTCTTCTTCCTTTTTTTTTTTTTTTTGTAACAAAGGAATTGTTGTCATTTTGAATATGTAACTCTTAACATATAGGTTAATTTTGGTTGATAGAAAGAAATTGAAAGAAAACACAGTGAAATACAGGATCTTCAAGAAACAATAACAAAGCTTAAATCAGTAAGTAAAAATATTTTCAGTTCTTGTTTGTAGCATTTTAATCATACTGTCATCCATGAGTCATTTATTATAAAAAACATCAATTTAACAATCAACAAGAGAACATTTGTAGTAGCCCAAAACTCTTCTGTAAAAAATTAGTAATTAATAAATGAAAAAGCTAAAGATGCTACATCATACTGTTGGAAAAATAAACCGAAAGAAAACTCAACTTGTGAATAATTATGCAATACTTGACTCACTCAGAAGCAAAGCATAGTGACCCAGATAAAAAACATCAGTATTATCAATTCTTTGAAGACCAACCTCTCTCCATATAGCAAGTTCTATATTAGCTGAGTACTGCTTTTTATTTTAGTGCATCTAGTGAACTTACAAATATAAAAATACTTAGTTTTCAGGGCATCAGATTATAGGAAAGGTGTACCAAATAGCATTTGATTAGCTGCAGGGTTGGATTGACTGAGATGCTGTATTGTAAAGTACTTTAATGCCAACAGTGTTACCAAATGCCATTAAAAATTATTTATTGCTTTAATCATTACTTTTTTCCCCTGTTTGTATCTCACTATCCTACCGGTTGGTTTCTTGAATTAAACAAGTGTTAATCTTCCCTGTTTTCTTGCTGATTGCGAACTGTGTCAAAAGGAATGTTTACTTTGATGTAATAAAAACCAGTATAATAACAATGTTAAAGCATAAAATATCCAGGTTGAACAGGAGTAAACAGTGTTGTATATTAAAAGTAACAAAATGTTTAATAATTTTTTTTTCAAATTTCTTTATTGGCACTTCTAATTTTTTATAATAATACTTGTTACTTCAGGAATTGTGCTCATGTCGTAGGGAGAACGAGAGACTGAATGAAGAACTCTTTGGAAGAACAGGTGATAAAGACAATCTTGAGGTGTTGTTAAACCAACTTCAACAGGAGAAGCAAAGGCTGACAGAAAAAACAGAGAACTTAGAAATAAAAGGTAAATCATCAAATGTAAATTGTTGCAAATTATCTTCCTGTAAATTTTGAAATAGAATACTTTCCTAGTTCAGATACAGTTAATAATACTAAAAGACTTTTGATATATGTAAATTAAAAGAAAGCTGTAGGTCTTCAGTCATAATTGAAGTGAAAACTTTTGTCATGAAAAGATATTTTCATTCTCTGTGTGAGAACTCAAAGTAGAGCTTTTTACTGTGTTCCCATGTTATATTAATTCTATGGAAGTTTCATGCAAGTAATTTTCAAAATTGTTTTTATACTCTGTCATTGAGTAAGTAGATTTAGACTTGTGTTTCTTGAGAGCTTTATCCAGTTGGATCTTGAAAACCTCCAGGTGTGGGGATTCTCCAGCATCTCTAAGCAACTATGTTTGTCTATTCTCAGAGTAAAATATTTTTCCCTGTGTTGTTTGTAATTGCTTGTAGCAATTAATCTTCATTGTTCCTGGTTTACTTACTATGCACCTCTGTGAAGCAATTGGCTCCCTGTTATGTATAACTCCCTCTTGGCACTGTCAGTCTGCTCTTAGGTCTCCAGGCTGAACAAGCTCAGTTCCCTCAGCTGTCCCCTGTAGGGCAAGTGTTCTGCTCCCTGACCAGCTTGGAGGGCCTCCCTTGGACTTAAGTTTATCAACATCTGTCTTGTACTAGGAGGGGCAAACCTGAACACGGTATTTTAATGCAGTCTAATGAGTGCTAAGTAAAGGGGAATAATCACATCCCTCAGTCTGTTCATACAGCCCAAGGTGCTGTGAGGCCTCTATTGGTCTTATACTACTCACTCATGTTTAGTCTATCAACCAGGACTCCCACATCTTTTTCAGCAGGATTGCTTCAACAGCTACTGGGAGTTAGTCCGTCCCAAATGCAAGTGTCTTTGAGGAAATTAATGACTTTCCTATACAGTTGGGTTATTTTGCTTTGTTTCTTTTGCAGAACGAGAACTTGTCCTAGAAATAGAAAGAATGAGAGTAGAATATGGTATAGCCCTAGGAGACAAATCTCCATCTCGTCTAGATGCATTTGTAAAGACTTTAGAAGATGACAGAGATTATTATAAGCGAGAATTAGAATATCTTCAGAAAATGATAAGACGAAGGTCTAGCCCAAGCCGCAGGACTCCAGAGAAGGTAAAGTTCCTGCTGCCTGGACAAACTGAAAAAACAATGGAGATACTGTAGAAACATTTAAGAAACCATCAAATAATATTTTCAAATTCAGTGACAGGAAATGACTGTAGTAATTTTCTGAATTACATTCTTAATGCAAAAAAACAACTGAGAGAAACTCCAATGAACTTGCATTTTATTTTTCTAGTCACATTTTACAGCAAACATATTGATTAATTATTGATCATTTTGTTTGAAATAAATAGAATTTGATAATAACCAGAAAAATAAATAGAATTAGAAAATAACCAGAAAAAGATTGAAGTCATACTGTTCATTGCTTTGCTTTTTCTTCTTAACAATTAGTTCTTATTGTTTAAATGATACCACCAATGCCAGGCTTTTTCTTGCAATGAAAATTTATTTTGTATGTATTTTTTATTTATTACTATTAGAATGAGTTCTTTTTTTGGTATTAATTATCCAGATATTTTAGTTAGCCTATTTTAACATAAATTTTATTGGTCACTTTGCAGGGTGAAGAGCTTAAATTGATCACTAGAGAAAGAGATGAGCTACGGTCCATGTTAGACAGATTTGAAAAACACATGATAGAAATTCAGTCCAATGTCAGATTATTGACTGCAGAAAGAAATAGATTAAATGTTCTTTATGAGCAGGTAAGAAGAGATTGTGATTTACACTGAAATAACCAATTAACTTTTATTGTACTGTTACTTGTTTAAAATTAAAAACCTTTATAATAGAACTTGAGTATAAATCTACTAGAATACAACAAAGACTAATAAAATATATACCTATTTTTATTATTTGTTAATAAAATTACGTATTCCACTTAGTTTATTAACTTGAAAACCATTTTAATGACATAATAAGATATTGTACTGGCATTCAGAAATGAGAAAGATCAGGAAAAAAGTCAATAGAATGCATGAGAAAGTTGTGTAAAGATAACAACCAAGAAAGCAGTAGTTAACTGATAAGAGAACAGAGCAAAGTTAGTCTATACTTGGAACAGTTAAAGAATGATGGTTATGTTGTCAGCATAAACTGTCACTCCACTGAGTGATTTAGGGAATACATTTTAGTTATCTAGAGGAAAATAAGACTATAATAGAACTTATGTCGTAATAACAACATTGAAAGTTCCTTTTGTTAGTGTGTACACTATGTTGCAGTCCATGGATGCTAACAAACAGTAATCTTTTTAAGTCTCAAAGTGAGTTGAACAGGATGAGAAGAGAAGCAAAACATAGTTTAGTTTCTCAAAGTCACGTGGAAGAAGAAAGAGACATTGCACTGACCGACTTTAGAAGACTAATGGCAGAAAAAGAAAGCCTCAGAGAAAAATTAAAGGTGAGCTTTTATAGCTTCACTGCTTACAGTGAGGTGGCGTGTAGGGAAGGCATGTACAGTAGTGCTGTGTTGGTATCTGGCTCTCTGTCAGTTCCCCTTTTCAATAACTTTTGATTTCACACTTGCTTGAGAGAGCTCAATGAATTGTATCAAATTTTCCTTGTTAACACAGTTCCTTGTTGGACAAAGGGGGAGAGAAACATGCTTAAAGTATTTGAGGGCAAGCGTGGTATCACCTTGTGTGAAAAATCTAGATATGAAGCACCAGCCACAGAATATTTTTGTGGGTATGCACTACTTTGAAGACGCTTGTGTGTCACTGTTGTGGAAGAAATCATGCACTTCACTCACAAGAGAGAAACAACAATATATTTTATGCATTTAAGGCAATATATTGTTAGCTTTGTAATCTACCTTATATTTTGTAATTAATGATAATTTAATAAATCAATTTAAAATGTCTTAGGGCACTAAGCTATACATGTGTCTACCCTGTAGCTTGATAAACTCTACAGCAAATCACAAATACTAATTTAGTTGGATCCAAACATAAATATACTATTTTAAAAAGTCTAAACCAACAACCAAAACCAAACTCAGTGATGTTATATTAAACTGCAGTGGTGTATTTTCAGCTAATGTTCTGTAATTTTACAGAGAGAGCTTTGCATTTGGTCATTCATCTAAGAATGTAAAGCAATGTTTTTTTAAACATGAAGCTTAAATTTCTGTGATCAAATCTAAAACTGTCTACCTTGTTACATGTAATTCTATATTTCTATCTCAGATTCAGCAAGAAGCAGCAAACCTTGAAAAATCAAAGATGCAACATGATATTTCAGAACTGGAGAATAACATTCAAGGAGTAAGTGCGTTTTTAGGAAGTAAGCTTTTATTATTTCTAAAATAGGATAGTCTGTTTCAGCTATTAATTTTATTAACTGTTTTCAACTTAAATTTATTTAAAAACCAAGCTGCTATAGCTTTCTGCAAAAATAATATTTGGTTATTTATTTTAAATTGCAGCTCGAGATGGAAAGATGTGAACTGAAGTCTACAATCTCCATCCTGAAAGAAAGAATAAGCTATTTGGAAGATGAATCGAAATTGAAGTCCAGTAAACTTGCCCAGACTTCTGATGATTCTTCTCAGTTTAAAGCTGAGATTTGCTCACTTCGGTAAGTCTGATACAAAATGATCTTTCAGAGATGCTAAAATAATTTTGTTTATTCTATGACTCTAAAGCAGAGTTGAGTTCCTGGAAAAGACCATAAAATATTTTTAAAATCACTTATACTGTTTGTGTCTTATGGAAAACTAAGTGTGAGTAAGGCAAATGCTGTGGTGGCTCTTCACAGCAAGCTCCTCCTGAAGTTATTTGATGACCAGATATACCTCTAACTTTTATGGCAGGTTATGAATGAAAATTTTCTCCTCCTTCCAGAACAGTTTCATCTAATAGCCATGTTCTCTGTTTATGAATGTAGCAGAACAGAAAGTTTCTAAAAGAATTTCCAAATGCAGTTTGTTAAAAGGAAGACAGATACCTTTGCAAACTGCAGCAGTAGGACCAGACTGTGCCAGTTTTACAAAGTTGTCAGTAATAGTGAAAATTTTACGCCCAGCAGCAGGCATTGGTATTCCACAATTGAGTGGTTCATGGAGCATCATTCCGTAATGGCATTTTTACACGAGTTGGTTTTTTGTATTGCTCTCTTTCATATGCTAATGCCATCACGTGCATACCACAGTTCTGAGAGCTGACATCTTATAATCCATAGACACAGTAGTGGGAATTCAACTAACTTGCTCAGAACTGGAGGATCAAGTGTATCCATGTATTTTTAAGGTCTGTTTAAACTTGCAGCATTATTGCTGTGCTCTTTTAAAGTTGTTTTAGAAAAGAGCTCCCATCAGCTGTCTAAATGTCATAGAACAAGGAAAAGGCTTAGAGAAAGTAGAAACAGAGTATTGAAAATCTGGGCAGAAATCTGAAAATACAGGTGGAAATGAGAACCTTTGATGTAAGAGATGACTGCAGGATAGATAATTCTGTAGATGATATCTTTTGAATGTTTTACAAGGGAAAACAGGATCTGTGCCTTATTCTCCCTTCCCGCCCTGAACAGTAGTACTACACTGCACTGTACACTAGTGGGGGATAACTGTGAAGAACCGAAGTTGAGAAGCAGGACTTGAAGTTCATTTAATGCTCCCGATTGCACAAAGAAGGCTCTTGGTAAAACAATTAGTGTATTTGTTTGTAAAATTGTGTCAATATTCATAAATACAAAATACCCTGTTAAGTTCCTTATAATTTCAGTAGAAGCATTGATATTATGAAAAGAAGGATACAAGGATAAGGGCTACAGTCATTTCAACATTTGGTTCTACTTTGTGCATGGTGGCAATTTGTTAGAACTGTGTTTCTCCCCCTCCCCTTGCTTTTTTTATTTCCTCTCAAAAATTTCACTCTGAACTGGGTGAGAGTACTCTTTATTTGCAAACATGCTGCATTCTGGATTGGTGGGGTTTTCCTAATAATGAAAAACTTCTGTAGCTTTTGTGGGATCTCAGTTGGGAGGGATTTTTATTTCCTGACTCGTCTTGTAAATAATCCATGTAATTACTTTGGAGTTTCGTTTTGCTTTTTTTTTTTCCTAAGTCACTCTGATATTTCTTTCCAAGAAAAACAACTATGTAGGTGGATGATTTAATGTATCTTTCAGGTTCTATACTTCTTAAAAATAGGATCAAAACTGTAGCTGTCAGTTTGTTTGCTTTTTAAAATGTATCATTGATAATCACTGCTATGAGCTACATATCAAAATCTTCGTAAAGCAACAGTCTAAAGACACAAGTAAAGAGGCACATGATGAAGAGTAACAGAAATCAGAGGAAGTGAGTGTTTTGGGTTATCATGGTGATCCCACTGAGGTTCCACTGCTGCATTTTGTAATGGTGTTGAGGTGGACTTGCAGCTGGGGTCTAGAGCAAACAAGTGTGTTGGCTTCAGAAATCCTTAAGTCCTCTGTCTCCTCAAGGAAGAGGACTAGTTAGTATGACACAACCCCATGCTGCAGGTTGGTGTGATGCAGCCCTTTCAGGAGGTTATGCTGGAATTGTGCCAGCACTTCAAGCAGTTTAAGAGCCATAAATTGAAGACTGTGAATAGGTCCCAAACTTCTTTCAACTGTACACGGATTTTACAGGCTCTTAAATGACCAGCTCCAGAGGTCTGTTGAAGATTTACAGCATCGCTTGTCCGTCAGGAAGGATGATCTACAGTCAGCTCAAGAAGAAATTGTAAAGCTAAAGGATAAAATAGGTAATCAGTAGTTATTTTTATGCTTATTTCCTGCTTTTAAAATAGAAAATACTTATTCTTTTATTTATAGATAGGTTAAACCAGAGGAGCACTTCACAGGATGAAGCAGTCAATGTGCTTAGAAATACTATTACTGTTTTGGATAAAGAAAAGGACAGTCTTCAAGAAACCGTGGATGAAAAAACAGAAAGAATTGCATGCTTAGATGACAACTTAGCTAACAAGGTATGTGCAGTAAAAGTACTACTTTGCAGTCCACTTGGGAATTTTTAAATCAGTTAATTTTTAAGAAGACATTTTTCCTGGATGACAGAGCCCGTTTAGAGCATTAGGCATCACACAGGCACTATGATTGGACATAGCCAATGCAAAGAGTCATTTGTCAACTCAGTAGCACTTTAATTATGAATGTTACTGTATTCTCTAAACACACCAGGAACACAAAGAAGTATTTTTTTGCATTTTGCATGTGGAGGTATTTATTGAGATACAAGATTCTAGCCTGAGGTGACAAAATCTGTGGCTTCCATCTTTTTTGATGACAAGACAATCCTTTCTCAGTAAAGATAAGAAGCTTGGAAATTTGAATGTACAAAGATGCAATTATTTATTGGCAAAGAGTTATAATAAAGGCTTGAATGAAAAGTTGTTTAAATTTAAGTATCTACTGTATTGCAATATACTGATACCTAGTAGAACTTTTGTTTTTATTTTCCTAGGAAAAAACAATTACTCATTTACGTCTAACTCTCTCTGAACTGGAGTCCTCAACAGAGTAAGTAAAGACTAGGATGCCTTCTTCAGAGATTTTATTTTACCTCGTGGTTTTAAAGTGAAAGTATTTGGCTATTTTAGTTATTTTGATGAAACTGAATTCATTCATTTAAGTCAAGTAAAGGAATGTGCTGTGTTGAGAAAGATGTACACAACTTTTGAAGAGACCTATTCTGCAATCATATTGCAGGCTGCCAGGATACTATTAAGACAACCATTAACAGTTTATCTATATTTATTTCCCTAAATTGGGAACATTTCTTAAATTAGTCAAGAAGTAGCTTTGTAGCACGCCACTCGATATTATTAGATTAACCCAGGTAAAATTCAGAGCTGAATTCTTAATTATTGGCAATCTAGTCCTAGCATAAACTACCATTACAGTCTTAATTAAAATATATTTATGTAGTTTTTAACTGGGCTTCATCTGGTCTTTCATTCTTGCCTCTTTTTGAGCATGACTTCTAAAACTATAGCTTCTTAAGAGAAAATATTTAAACACCAATATTTAAACTTTTAAAACCAACATAATTGAATATTTGCTGCATTGATGCATGAAATATCTGTGACAAAAAACTGATGCAAAATTTTACTTAAATTCACACATATTTATATCTCTATTTTTTTGTTTAGTCTCTTTCTTACTCTTTTGATTGTTGTCTTTCAGGTGTAAGCTATCTTCTTCCTCCTATGGTTTATAAAATATGCAATGGGTAACATACTGTAACCACTACTAAACACAGATAAACATAAGTATCTTTAATTGCTGTTTGCTTAATAAGTTGCATCATACCAGATAAATCTTCAAAGTTGAAAATGAATTCCATTTTATTTCTGCATCGTGACTTTTACATACTTGACTTACATTTATATTTCAACTCAGTTTATCAGCCTTGAGTAAGCAAGAATGCAGAGGCATTGTCCATGTCTCATCATTTTTGGCACTATGTGGTGTAGTACAGGAAGGAACAACTTAAATAATATTTTCACTTGATAGCCACATGAAGGACATGCTGAGCAGCAGAGACCGTGAGATATCCAGCCTACAGCGCCAGCTTGATACGTCCCAAGTAGAGCTTGCAGAAGTGGGAAGAGTAAAGGAAATGGCTCTGAAAGAAAACAGACGATTGCAAGATGACCTAGCTACAATGGCCAGAGAAAACCAAGTACAGTACATAATAGTGATGTATTAAACTGCTTATTGTTTGCTTATATATAGTGCTACATCAAAACTGCTGTAATCCCCGGTCTTGATTGGTATGTTTAATTATTGTTATTTCTTAGCACTGGGATGTTGAAATTGTAAAAGCAACTACTTCAGGTAACATAAGTGTAGTCAGTACAGTGGGGGGGAAATAGACAAGCCTTCAGTTTAGTCATCCTCCCCCAGATTAAAAAAGAAATCTGAATAAAGTTTTAAATAAAATAAATCTGGGACATAATTGTTTTTAATATAATGAAATTATGTTAATTGGTTATATCACTAGGTAGTTGGTATTTAATTGATAAAAATTACATTTTATTATCTGTGGAAGTGATTATTGAGAGAGCAAGGAACCACAAAAGCAGACAACAAATTGTTAGTCGGAAAGTGAGAGGGAGAGGAAGGAGATTGCTAGCACGTCTGAATTCATTCTGGTGCATAGTAACTCATTAATTTCAACCATTAGTTTCCATGAAATATTGGATTTATTGAGTGAGGATTTTTGCCAAGTTTTGAGATTAGGATGTTTTGGAATGTAGACTTTAATGTTTGTGTTCTGTGAGCTTTGGTAACAGTGGCTGTAAAGGGATATTGGCAAGTTTTTAATTTCTAGCCCTAGGTGAATTGCCATTCATGTGTGTTTCTCTGCAGGGATTTTGCTTTCACTGGTGAGTTGGAAAAGGTTAATGTTGGAGGAGAAAATATAAGAGGGCTTAACAACTAGAAGAGACAGAGAGATTGAAGAATACTTATTTTTAGGGTATGATAGTCCTGAATAGTCTGAATTTGCTTCCTGATTTCAGGAATGGATAAGGATTCACAATAAATGAGAATAGGAAGGGTTCCCTTTTCATTATGTCAAGGTTGTGTGGGCTTTTTAGACGGTGAATTCACAGGTGCCATCTATTTCCCTGGAAAAATGTTCTTGTTGGATTATCTTTACATAGGTCCCGGGCAGGTGGGGCTCGTTAGCCCTTAAAGGCAACCCACCTACGTCCTAAGGACCTCGCTGCCACCGTCCAAGCTCGCTTGGCCCCGGCAGATGAACCTTAGGATTAAAGGGTGGGCTCAGTTCCACGCACACTGTGTCTCACCTAAAAAATCCAATGCGCAGGCTGGAAGGTGGAAAGACCTTCCCCGGATCTTCGCTCGCGAAGACTGGCCATTATTTATTTATTTTACATAGGTAAAGTAGGTGTTGTGTATATACATACACACACAGGTGTCACCTTTATACATCCATAGATAGAAATATATATACACACAGGTTCAGCTGTATATTGCAGGGGTTTTGTGTGTGTATTTTGGGGTTTTTTTGGAGATTCTGTTCTGGTGCTTTATTTGACTGCTTGAAGAGTTTTTATTTGTATTAGTTTTATTTGATTTTATCTTTCTTTAGCTCTCTATTAGTTTAGAATCATAATGTACAATGCTAACAGCTGGCCAGTCAGTAGCTTCAGGCCAGAAAGCAGCTGGGATTTGGGTTATAATTGCCCAGTGGCCACTGAGTTGGTTCATGTGTATTCACAGTCAGATTTCCAGCTGGGAATTACATAAGTCCCTCTCAGCTGCTCATGGCTAAATCCATTTCCTTGTAAAGTGCATGCTATAAAGGCCTAACTTGAACTTATATGTCAGTTGTAGAATCAGACTTGAAATAAAATCTTGAAAGTCTTGAGGAATAAGCCATTTCCGTAGGTTATCACTGACTATTTTGTTGAAAGATGAGCTATCTGAAGTTTATGTAAATTAAATAAAAATGTTGCAAGACTGAAACAGTTGAAAGATTCAGTGGATTGGACTGTTCAATTACCATAATTGTTATTGTTCTTGTGGCATCTTCATCTTGAGATGTTCTCTTGGGGTCCACAATTAAACCAACCATTGGTGTGTAAGGCTCAATCTTTCAAAAGCCTATGGGGCTTATATAGTATTTCTCCTTTGTACTCTTAGCAATCGTCATTGCTCCATCTCTTCTTTCTTGGAATTCTCTGGATCTGGGATCTGTGGCTTGGGCAGCCTGATGTGCTTGTTAATCCCTCACATAGTTGGAGAAATAATGAGTTGGTTTTGTGAACCAGCTGATTGCTGCTGACCAAAAGCCTTCCAGATCCAAGTATATGATATGGATATCCCTGTATGATAGAATGTGCATATGGACAATATATAATAAAAATGTTCAGTGTCTTATAGGGCGAGTGACATTTTTTAGTGAGCTAAGCATTACAAACACCGTGTAGAGAATATGTGAGTGTGACCTAGAGAGCCAGCGCAAAATGCCACTGCAACTCATTACATTCAATTTGTATAGCAAATACAACTATTACAGCCCCTCATGAGACTCAGATACCTTTACAATTTTGATGCTGAGATTAAAATGTTTGTTTCAGTTTGCTGTAAATGCCAACACTAAAAATAATCAGGACTTTGTTAGCTAAAACATTTATTTCAGTTCTCTTCAGTTGGCCTGGCTGAATCTGATGCTAGAGAGTACAATAAAGCAGCATGTTTTAAGTGATGTAGTACCCTGAATAGTTCTTGCAAAACCTGTAGTGCAATACATAAATATGTGGATGTATTATTGAAATTAGATCTGCCATTCCCAAGCATCTAATAAGATGAAATGTTAAATATTATCGTAACGTGATGACTAAAGCTTTCCCATTGTGTTTGGGAAGGCTACCACTGAGATAAGCAGACTGATTCCATCATATGCTAAATAAGACACACAGTACAAAAGTACAAAAATTAATATTAATAGATGACAAAGAGAAGAAGGGGAAGAAATGAGGCAGTATCCTTTATTTCCCCCACATTTGATCATGGGGATAGAAAAAGATACTTCCTTTCTGGCTCTCTGGACTAGAGGACTCTGAGGAAGGTGAGAGCTGAACCTGAGAGGGCCAGAGTCAGCAGTTCAAATATCTATAACAAGTTCCATGGTGCATTTTTGATGTCTAAATATGATCTTAGTAATGCATTTAGGTTTTTTATCTTGCAATTCCACTTTAAAATGCATGTTCTTTTGTTATAAAGTTGATTTTCCAGTGACCTAAAACTTGCCTTCACTCAGGGATAGTGAATCTTATGGCTATAAAAATTCCAGCTTCCAAACATCATTACGTCGAATTTTCCAAAGATCAGTATGGTGTGTCATCAGGGAAGCTGCATATTTTATGAGCTGGTGTGATAGTCATTGTTTTCTGTGATTGTTCTTGCCTGGAAACCCTTTGGTGTATCTAAGGTGATAGGGAATATTTCTGAACCATATAAATCCCAAAGGCTTTTGCAGGTAGAATAGAAAAAAATCTAGGGCTTAGGCAATTACTTTGATTTAATCTGAGAAAGTATTATATAGTGATTAATTTACTGTAATGCACAGTTTTGCCTTTATGTTACCTCTTTAGGCTATCAGTACCGAGCTTGAAGATGCAATACGTGAAAAAGAAGAAATGAAAACCAGGGTTCATAATTATATAACTGAAGTTTCCAGATTTGAGACCTTGATAGCTTCAAAGGTAAAAATATAGTCTGTAGGCAGTCATTACTGTTTTCAGCAAGATTTGTATGGGTTGGGTCCGTTCTCCCTGCCTGTCCCATTTCCTTCTTTTATTTTGTCTTCTTTTCTCTGCACTGTTGATCATGTTCCATTCGGCCACAGTGCTGCAGAATAACAAACATATCATGTTTGAATATTGTTTTGCATTTTTAGGTTTTGACAAGGCAACTAGTAAAATATCCGGTACTGCTTCGTGATTGTAGGCAACAAGCAGCTTATACAATGGTCTTAAATATTTTACTCTTTTTGAAAAGAAAATTTTTTATCTAGTTGTGCATGAGAGTGTAAAGATAGTACTGCCAAAACAATGCTCTTGGTAGGTGTATTTTATCCTAATATTTGGATTCAAAAGTGTGATGTATATCAATTAAAACTTAAAAACAGTTAAAACAAGTAGAAATTGTGTCAAGACTACATGAACTGGCAAGTTTATTACATGAAATTAAAATGAGAAGAATGAGTTTTGATCTGACTTCAACTTGATGAATGCACGTAAATTCAAGCACTCTTTACAAGTAGAAACTGAAGGTTAGTGGAAAAATTAAGGTCAGTAGTATAGTTAGCTTAGAACTATCAATTTAAAACACTTGAAGCTTAGCTTTTAAGAATCTTACAATATATCATATGTCCAAAGTACTTCAGCTACAGGTTGGCCACATCTTTGGCAAATGAGAATCCAGTTATTCAGGGTGTGTACCAGGAAGCTGTAGAATATACAGACAGTGATCAGTTATGAATGGTTGATTTCAGAGTTTTGTCTAGTGTTACATCTGGATAATGCCTATGGAGACAAGGATTGTCTTTTCTGCACAGTGTTCACTTGCTTAATCATGAGTTTCTATTTCCTAATGCTCTGCCTGATCCTGTCTGCAGGAACAGTTCTGCAGGAAATGAAGGAATTTCAAAAACGTTAGCCTTCCTCTTTAGGTAAATCTGACTCGTACTAGCAACATGCATATCCTGCTGGGCATTATGTGAGCAGGGAAGAAGGGAATGTAGGTAAATAAGAAAAATTAATCACTACTTCGTAATATTCACTTGCAGTTTGGCCAAATTAAAATTTACAAGCAACATTTATTTTTACTGCACAAATGGTAAAGCTTCCAGTTTTGTACTTCTGTGGTAGACTGCTTAGGTGTATATGCTCAAATAGATTTTCAGTGTTAGAGCACAGTAAGTAAAAGAGCTGAAAACGGACTGCTGCTGGAATTTCTTGGAAAGGGCAGCACTCAGTATATCTCAGTAATGTGACCCTTGACAATGCAGAGAGATCTAAAATAACCCCTCTCCTGGGGCCTTGATACTCGTTAACAGCTTTTAAATGTAAGTACGTCCATTTTAATAAAACTGAATGCCATCACTGTATTTATTTGCTGTCTGGACTTGCAAAAGGGATGATGCCCTTTAGTAGTTGCCAGACAGCAGGATTAGGAAAATGAAGAAAGATCTACTTTCTTCTGAAAAAAAACCAAAAAAGATTGTAGGGAGTTGGCATGAAATAAGATCAATCACCCTGAAGGTATGTTGATTGTTACAGAGTGATTTACTGTTTTATTAGGAACAAGAAAACCAAGAATTGTTAGCAAAATTCCAGATGCTCCATACACAAGCTGAAGACTGGGAAATGAAGGCTCATCAGGCTGAAGGAGAAAGCAGCTCAATACGACTGGAACTCCTTTCAGTAGATACAGATCGGAGACATCTTCGAGAGAGAGTAGACCTTCTGGAAAAAGAGATTCAAGGGGTAATAACTTGTGCAATGAAATTTTCTCAGGGAAAGTGGGATACATTCAGATGTTTTTCAATGAAGTCAATGTGGTATTTTTAACATATTAATATAAAATAATTTCTATATGTGAATGTTTCAAATATGGACACTTGAGTTTTTGAAACAGTGACTGGTTTTGTTTAGATGTGCTTTCCTCCTCCCTGCTTTCCCAAAGTTAGAATAATGGCATATGTTTTGGTAGTTTTGGAACTCTTCTGTTAGGTTATTATTGCTATTATGATACTGTCTCTGTAAGAAACTTTTGTACATTGCTTCAAAATGTTTGCACGTAGCTTTTATGAGTACTTTCTAAGCTTAGATTTTATATTTCTTTGAAGCTTTGAATGAGGTATTTGAAGCATTGGTGGCTGGAGTCAAGGTAAAAATCTGGTAGACATAGTCCAAATCCAGAATCAGGATTCCATGATACTGAAACCTAGACCAGTATCATAGAACATAATGAGGTTTATATTATAGAAGCAATAACTTCATGGACGTGAAGTCCTAGAGTATAATTATTGTGTATTGACTACATTTTGTCTCATGCCAAAAAGAGTTAGAGACTCTGTTGTAAGCCGGGTAAACAATAAGCTGTGTTTTTGGAGGTTTAAGCTTTTTAATTCTCTGAAGCTGGAATACAGCCTCATTCCACTCTTTTATAGTACTTGTATAATTCTTCAAGATGGTGACTAAAAATTTTATTAGTTGTCCTCAGCTATGATTTAGGGAAAGGGAAGGAGTGTACTATAAAGTTAGTTTTATAGGGAAAGTTAAAGAGAAACTAAAGTATTAAGAAAGCCCAAGTTATTAAACAGAAGACTGTTCAGTTTAACACTGAAGGTGTATCCGTATTTGTCTTTGTTTAGCATATTGTTGCACATCAAGTATATGAATCTCAGATCTCCTCCATTACGAAAAATATGTCCAAATTGGAAGAGGATCTTAAACGTGAAAATCAGGATAAGGCTGCTCTGTTAGCAGACCTGACTTCTGTGAGGGAACTCTGTGTGAAACTTGAGTCTGGCAAAGAACATTTGTCTCGACAACTGACATCCAAAAGCATGGATTATGAAAGGGTAAGCAGAAAAGGCAAATTTAATTTGCTGTAATAAGATAACTTCCTTTGCTTTTAATGGTTTTGGGAGAAAAGAAACTTCTGAGAGCAAGTCAAGTTTAATTTACATCACTAGTTTCCCATTTTTTATATGAATTATAAATTTTACAGTATTTAGATCTGTATCTGTGGGTTTTGTACAAAAAGATGGAGTTTCTTTCATTTGTTATCAATGCAAAATGTTGCAGCTGTAGTTTTTGCGATACCAGAGACAAGTTATATGGGTTTTTTTGTTTGTTTTTTAATTTGCTCAAATTTTCAACTTACCAAAAGCAAATAGTGCACTTCTTATTTAGATATTAAAGACCTTTTCTTAATGGCTTTCTTCAGTTAAATTGAAATTTAGATACAGCTGATTTTGTCTTTATTTAGTGACTTGGTCAGGCTTTCTGGTACTGTATATTCAAGATCTCAAGAACAGTAGAATTTGTTTATATTCATAAAACTTATGAGAAAAACAAGTATTCCTACATTTTAAGCAAAATATACAGCTTGAATAGTTTTAAACTAAGTATAGTTTAGAATAATTGTAGGCTTTAACTTGTTTTGTGAGCTCAGTTTCCTTTTCTTTTTTATGAGACTTACGATTATTTCAGATTTTATAACAACTCTTCACAAAATAGAATTCTCTGTGTTTGTAAACCAGTGTATTAATAATGTATAAAATTTGTGCCTTAGGTTCTAGGAGAATTAGAAGATATAAAATCAGAAGTAGAGTTGCTGAAAAAGCAGTTATCCAGTGAGAGACTTACAGTTCAGAATCTTGAAACATTACTGGCTACTAGTAGAGACAAAGAATTTCAGAACCAATTAACATCCCAAGAGAAAGATACCGAAATTCAGTTACTGAAAGACAAGCTAACACTTGCTGAGAGCAAACTGTAAGTTTTAACAAGTGTATGTGTGTTACGTGGTTTACAAAAAAAACTATTTCTGTGTGACAATGCTTATTCACAAAATCTGGATGTTCAGTATGGTCGAGCAGATTTTTGCAGCAATGTCTTTTGGTCTTTCTTGACATCATTAACTTAAAGTTTCTTTACAGATCTTTCATACTGCTTTCATTAATCAGCACTTTGATGGACAGCTGTTTAGTGCAGGCTGTAAACTTAAACAGGAGTTCCAAAGAAAACATACTCCAAATAAAATTTTAACACATGTTTACGGCTCACAAAAAAATTACAAAGTATGTTAAATCCATTGTAAGTGTGAATTGCTTATCTACTGAAGATGCCTGTTATCCTTACTTTGATTAAAGTAGAATCACTTACATAATAAATAGTGAAGTCATAGTGCTTAAAAAAAGCAAAGGTACTTTTGCTGCTGTTGATATTAACTGTTAAGGAAAAAGTCCTGTATCCAGTTATTGCTCCTTTGAAATATAAAGAGAACTGAACCCAACACCTACGCTATATGTGGCGAGCAACTTCTTATACTGTGCATCTGCCTGAAGAAGAAATAACTTTTAAACACACTTGTAGAAGAAAGACTAATCTGTTTGGAGCAATGAAGTTAAGGGGGGGATATTTTGTCTATGTGAAATTCATGTACGAGAGAAGTGGAGGGGTTAAAAGTTTTTCTTCATGTTATGGACCAGTGAATTTGAAGTGTCCATGACACTTGTCATCTTAGAATCATTTAGATTGGGAAAGACTGTTAAGATCACCAAGTCAAACTGTTAAACTAAGACTGCCAAGTATCATGACATGATAGTTCTCCAAGGGAAACATTAGGCAGTGACTGTAGTGATAGCTCTGCATTAAAGAGCAGGAAGGAGGAGTAGCAGCTGAATGGAGATGGTAGTGAAGAGTAAAGTCCAAGTAGAATTTCAGACAAAGGAAAACAGATACACCACAGTTAGTAAACACTAAGGTAGGGAGAGAAAGAAAATGTGTGGAAGGTAATAGGACAGATAATGCTCCTTATGAGATACAGAATGTAGCAACCTTAAGCAGATAAAAACTGTCTGTGACTTGGTGACACAGATGTGCAAGAAAAATGCTTTTGATTGATTTACATAGAGGCTGCAGCTTAGGGCTGATGATGGTCCACCTCAAGTAGCAGCAGTCTCTATGGCTCTGTAGATGACAACAGTATTAATCACCCTTGTGCAACTAATTGCTTCCTGCTTTAGTATTGCCAATTTTGGTTTACTTTGGGGGAAAAATGTTATTTGCATACAATGAACATAAACTAATGGAAAGTCACAATTATAAAGTTAAATGTGAAAGTTAATAAAAACACAAACCAGCACAAACCCCCCAAAACCAGGAAATAAGGAGGTTTTAATTTAAATAGAATTTAGTTACTTTGTGTGCAAACATTGTAAAATTCTGTTTAACTAACCTCATAGTAATTTTTTCACTATTTTTCTTCTGCACACATTGTAGGGCTCATTTCTTGTTTGTTGTAGATGTCAGTACTTGCATTTTTAGTAGTATGGGATACTGCAGGAAGAAGGAAAACCTCTTGGAGGAAGAGTGGCTATTCTACTGAATTGTTTTCCTCTGTTTATCTCAAAGGTTCTGCATGTTGCTAGGTAAACATTCACGTGTGAGAACTAGCTGTGTATACCTTGTTTTCTACTATTTGGTTTGTAGCAGTTGCAGTCTAAAGAACAGGAAGTTTAGTTTAAATGCTCACAGTTGTGACTGAAGTATGTGACAATTAGGTTCGTGTCTTGTAAAATACAAAAATTCATTTGGCTTGGCAACAACCTCTGACTTTAGGATTCTCAGAAATAAGTTTAACTTGTGAAATTCTCCAGTGCTGTAATTATGAGCTCTGTAGAGTGAGTAGTTGCATTACTTGGAGTGCTATTTGGGTGATAGTATTGTGAAGGAGATCTTGAGGCTCTAGAGTGAATAAAGTATTAAAGAATATGAAATAGCTACACTACTTATTGAGAGCTATCTGTATCTACTGGGAAAAAGACAGATTTCCTGTGAAAATTGTATATCATTGTGTAAACTTAAATGATGATTACTGTGCATAAGGGTTTCAAATTACAATATTTCTAAATTTTGAGTTATTTACTTCATGCTCTTAATTTTAATTGTCATTGACATGGAATAACCTGAGAACTCACAAAGTGTTTGCTTTCTTTTCTTGTTTTACAATAATGATACTGGCCCCGAATTCTTACCTCCATCCTGAAAGCATATGCCTGTCTCTGAAGGACTTAGAATAAAATATCATCGAGATCTCTTGTCTTCTGCATCTGTTCTCAACATACTGGATCAAGATACCATTCTAGGAATTTTACCGATGAATAGGGACTGTGGGAAAAAATGTTCTGCAGTTCTTTTTGGAACAAATCTCTTAAGTAGTTTGCATCTTCCTGGAGTCAAAGACCAGCGGGTGCCAGACAGGAAGCCTGTGACTGACCTAGGATTGGAACTTGTTTTTCAGAATTCCGGTCCAGTGCTTTAGCAATAGACAAGTACAACTTTGCTTCTCCAGAAGTGACTTTTGAGCACTCCACCTCATACTGGCTTTGAAGACTGTATGGAATAACACAGATTCTCATTTAGAACAACTTATGTCTAGATTCTCATTTAGACAACTTATTTTACACTCAATATTTTTTTTTCTTCCTTTATAAAGAATTAATAGTATTTTGCAATCAAGCATTGAGTTGGTCAAGCTGATGATTTACTAAGAAGTACATTCAATTATGTTAGTTAAGATTTTCAAGGTTGCTTTTCATTTTGATTCTTGCAGTTGAAACAGTTGGGCCCAAACAACAAGGTTAGAGTTGACAAACCTTGAGACTCTGGGTTGTGCTGGTCTGGTGTTTGCATTAGTACATTTTTTACATAGATTTGATTCAGTAGTTTTCATTGCTAGCCAGATAGTTCCAGGCTACTTGATATAATTTTTACTGTTATGTTGGTATTTTTTGTGGATTCTTACTGCTTTTTTCTTCCCTTTTTTTTAAATGTACACATAAAGACTATCTCACATTGCAAAAGAGGGTAGTAAATCAATAAATTAATGTTTGAATTGGTTTGTCTGTTTTTGTAAAACATGTCTGTGTATACCTTTGTCTGAAAAAGAACACAATGTAGTTAAGATATAGTGAGAGCTTCTCACTTCATTCTCACCTTACTTCTTCTGGAAACACTGTGTTGCATGCACTTGGTTCTTACTTTCTTGCTTCTAATTTGTCTTTGATTTGGTCTGTGTGAAGGAACGTGTTTAGTATCTGGTTTTGTTTTATCTTGCTCTAAATTATCTTAGCTCCTAGCTGATGGTGTTCAAAGAAAACTTTGTTGCTTTTCATGATTTTTTTTTTTTTTAGAAGCAGCCATAATAGAGAGGTTTCCTTACTTCGAAGTAAAGCTGCACAGCTGCAGACTGACTGCGATGTTTTAAAAAGGCAACTGACAACTGAGCGGTTTGAACGGTAAGATGCTGCTTTTTCAGTGAGTTGGCTCTTCTCATTTCTTCTTTCTCACTTTTAAAACTTGCTTTTTTCAATAGTAAGAAACTTTTATGGAAGAGACTGTTCCTCTTGCTGAGCAAAATATAATATGCTCATCTTGAAAACTGCTTAATTAAAAAAGAAAGAAAAATCTTACATAGTTTCTGAATTTTCTTGTAAATTTTATGAGTTAACCACTGCCTCTAAAAATAAAAAAATTCGTTCTCATGAAAACAAGAATAAAATTGAGTGACTTCACAAGAAAACAAAACTTCTTGCAAAGTGTTGTGAAAAATCACCAAGTAAAAATACAGAGAAAAAAAGTTATATTTTCTTCCTTTAACATCGTGCAGTCCCAAGTGCTGTGTAACTAAAATTGCCGTTTGTTGGCAGAGAACGTGCAATTCAGGAAATGCGCCGACATGGTCTCTCGACATCATCACTACGCGCTTCGCCTCCTCTCAGTTCAACGTTCAGGTCTCCCTCACGTTCCCCTGAACGGAGCGTTGTAAGGACAGCTGATCAGGCATCAGCTGAAAAGTAAGTCATTTGATTCTAGCAGGCTGTTTCTGTTTAAGAGTTAAGTTTAAGCTGTTTCTAAATAAAACCTTTCTGATTATTTGAAGTTGTTAAACTCTTCAGATGTTTCTAAGTTCTGCTTTTGCTGTCTCTCCTACTATAAAATGTTGATTGAGAATAGTGGATGCAAAGTGCTCTCGAAAGACCATATAATAGAATGGATTCTCATTCCTGTTTTTGTTAATGGTCTTGCACAAGCTGACAGCTGCTTGTGTTGCCTGCTTATTATTGTCATTACTTATATCCAAATATATTTTGCCAGTTTATTATTGTTAACAGTTATCTCCAAACAACAAATGGTTCATATTGAGAGAAATGCTGTGAAATTCTCTCAAGTACAGCAATGAAGGACAAACACTCCACAGAAGAGAGTCCAACTAAAATGCATTTGAACCTTATGCATTAGATGAAGCTGTCTCCAAAACAAGTGCATAAAAATAATTAGGCCTGGTTATTGGCTTTATATCCTGCCTGTCCTATATTGCATAATAAATTGCAGTGAAGAGCAGAAGGATAGGGAGAGATAAACAGTGATTGTTGTCGGAAATACATGTGCTGTAGCAGCTCATGAATCTGACAGATTTTAAAGTTTATTTTTATGGCTTGTTCATAAGTTTACTTTTGTTAACAAAAATACAGGTTTCTTGAGAACTGAGCTCAGCTTGACCACATTGTCAGCATTTTTTCTCTTCTGAGAGTTTTTGAGCAAAGGAAAAAACAGAAACTAGCAAATGAGATGTCAGTGGGGATGAAACAGCAGTTACAACTCTTGGTTTACTGGTGAGCCATTAGGCGCACCCTGTTATGTTGCAAATCAACATTTTGACTGAGATGATCACATATAATATGTTTTTGAGAAAGAGTTCTTTCCTTGCGTTACAGCGAGTCCTGAGAGCAAAAAAAGTCCAGTTGCTGTATTTGAAGAAAACAGTGTAGTGCACTATTTTTGTCCTAATATTTGCATACTTTAACAATGACAGCTCTGTACCATATCTTATCAGAAAATATCCCATTTTCATTAAGTATGTGTTTTTAAAGGAAATGGGTTTTAACAACTGAATTCACATGCAGTTGTTATGCATGTCTTGCCTTTTAAACCAATCAGTCGGCGTTACGGTAGAATGATCTCAGCAGTACTGTCACTGTCTTTCATCCTACTTATTTATTTCTTCTTGGGAGCTCACCACAGTAAAATCTATTTTGTAATTACTGTTCTGTAGTGTTACGACTGTCTCCTTCTCTAATCTGATTCCATCTTCTCAAGAAAATTTTTCTTCCTTCTCATCTCCCTTCTCTTTGTAACTCATTGAGCAACGAGTCAATGAACTGAATGCAGAGTTTTAGATAATATGCTAATAGTTGATATTCAGGAATAACAGAAGAGAATATGAGGAGGCTAAAGTTAATTATTACTATTTATCCTAATATTTATTACTAAAATAAAATAGTTAACTTTATTTTGACATTTTTTCTTTCTCCACCAGAAATGTGAGCTTCAAGGAATAACCAGTACTTAAGCAACTGAAGCCTTATCTTGTTATAAAGACTTTTTTTTTTTTTAATTATGAAGACTGTCTTGTATTCTACCTCTGTTTTCTTCAAATCAGTGATTACCTTTGAAATCTCTGAGAAAGGGTGAAGTAATCAACTTTGCAAAATTCCACTTTCCTAACTGGTGGGGATGGCTATTTTTCTGCTGGCTGTTTGACAGGTTTTGTATCAAGCCTGACTAAGTTTTGTTATGACTTTCGAAACATAATAATTATAAGAAGGAAACGAGTACTTGATTTGACAATCTCTTGTTTTCGTTTTACTATTGTGTTTGTTTGCTTATCTCATATGATTGCAGAAGTTCATTCATCTTATTATGAGCTAACAGAATAACATCCACAATTGTCTTACAAATGCTGAGCCAGTGTATGTTTTATACTCATGATGAATTCCTATATTTAAGCTTCTAACAAGTTGTTTTCTGTTTGCAGGTCATACTTCATGGTATTTAAAAGTATTGTTTGTCTATTTTGTGAATGTATTTTGTTTACCTTTTCTTAATAAAAATATGTATCAATCTTTATTACTGTTTTTGTCAACTAACTTTTCTCCTTTTATTCAACCTTTGTGTGAAATTACTCTTTAAATAACCCTATATTAAGTAAAAAGTTAAGAGAAAAATTACATTTTAAAGATGTATTAAAATGCTATAAATATTATAAATTTCTAAAATACTTTATATTCAAACTTTTGAATCATATCTGGAGATATTTTTCAAATGTCTGTTTTAAAAGTTCAGAGCAACACCTGGAATCCTTTGCACAGTTAAGCTCAAGCTGTTGAAGAGGTGACACAGGACTTTATGTTGTGACATACGTATTAGGTAAATGAAGCGAGAACTAATCTTTAAAATATCTGGTGTATTTAGCAGAGGAGCATTTCAAACTTGGGCTTTGAAGTAAGATGTGATTAAGTGATCACAGGATATACTCTTAATGTCCATCTATACAAATAATTGTGTATCATATCCTTCTATTTGAGAACATGCAGTTTTCTCTACACACCATCAGCTTGACATGTTGTGAATTCATAGGACTTATAGAGAGGTCTAGAAATGGGAGTATGCATTGCTGCACATCCTTGTACTGGCCAACAGGTAGTGTTCTGCTTGCCTATTGTTCAATAAAAAGCTGTGATTTCCAGATAACATTACAAGCATCTCTGAAGTGTAAGCCACATATTAAATAACATGGAAAAAAATCCCTTTTTTGCTCTTAGATTTTTTCTATGTTGCACTAAGATTGTTATACTTAGTAATTATAAAGAATATTGCATTACCTGGAAATATTATGTCATATATATTAAATTCTACTACTTAAAGCCAACTCAGAATGCCCATTCAGAAGTATCTGAAAATAGCTTTCTGAGCCATAGAAGGAACAATATATATATTCATAGTGAGTGCATCTCATACATTTTATTTTCTAGGTCTTTCATTTGCCAGTTATAGGAATGGGGAGGTTGTCATCTCTAAATGTTACTTATACTGTTTGTAATTAAGTCAGTAGTTTCCACTGATGCTAATTGGCGTTAATTATTCAGGGTGAAGCAGCTCAGTAAGAAAGAGAAAACTCATGTAAGAAAGAGAAGACTCTTGATGTCTTCAGTGGTTACTTTTAAATACTTTATTTTGTATATAAACCCTCTTAAACTGGAATCTAAATTTTTTAAAAAGCAGGTGTTCCATTGTATTGAAAGCAGTATATTTCATCTTACCAAAAGATATATATTTTGACATTACAATTAAAACCATAATACTTCAATTAATAGTAATTCCTACGTGGATATAACTTATGAAGAATTAGCAGCTCGTCGAGCACAGCTATTATAATAAAACTGGTATCATTTTGGTGACCAAAGCCTTTGCAGGTTTCTCATATTAAAATATTAAAACATTACTAATATTCGGTTGTAGTATAGCTGTCGTTTTGCCTTCTTGTTACTATTATTTTATATACACGTAAACAACTAGAAGAAAACAAAAGTAAATTTTATACAACCTTGCTTTAACATCAAGTATTTCATTTTGTGAAATAGAAAACAAGCACAAGTTTGTGGAATATTTAAATTCTTGGACTACTGTATATGTCATGTATGAAAGAAGCCTTATGTGAGTCAGGATGTTAATGTGACTATCTGAACTCTGCTCAAAAGCTTCTGTGCAGTCCTCAGCTTCTGGAAGATCAGAAGCACATGGGAGCCTCATGACCTGTTGTAGTCCTCAGTTGGTGTTGAGAGTGTGGCAGACATGAAATGAAGGGAAAACTCTGCATACTCAGGTTATCTGCAGCTGGAGGGGGAGGAAAAATAACTTTAGAAAAATAATAAAGGTGAAGCAATAATCATTGGGGCTGTTTTTCTATGAAACAAGGAAAGTCTAATGTCAGAAGCAGGGGCAACTAGAGATAATAAAAGGACAGGTTTTTTCAATGTATGAAAACCTAAATTGCTCAGTTAAACAAATGCTGTTATTCCTAAATGACACCGTAGGACTACAGACTTTTGTATTGGTTTTTTTTTTAATCATTCCTTGGGACAGAACTTTGTACTTTTTCTTTTCTAACAGTGTAAGAAACCGGTGGTCTGTGGTTTTGGTACCCTCGTCTTATAACTTTATTTATATAGATATTCCAGTTTCATTTCATCCTCTGATCCTTCACGGGTCACACAAAGATCATAACAGCTGCAGCAGCATTAATTCCTGGAACTACAGTCTTACCATTCCTCCTCCAGTGTAAATGGTAAGGAAGAGGAAGCCCTGATGCTGTGCAAGCACTGAGCAGCAATAGCTGAAACACTGGAGTGTTATCAGTGGCTGGTGTATTAATGCAGTGGTCCAGCCACAAACGGCAGAGAACTCCTCTGTCTTCTGTCAGGCTGCAATGTTACCTCTGCCACAATGCCCACCAACACACAGCAGAACAAGCACGGAGCACTCTGGCAGATTCCCTGCACAGGGGCAGCCCATTCCAGCATATGGACTGCAGACATGGCATGGCCAAGGTAACCCCAGCACACGATGTGTTCTGTAAAGCTCCCAGTACAACACGGACATGGACGTTCTTGGCAAGTCCAGCAAAGACCCCCAAAGATGATTAAGGGATTGGAGCATCTCTCACATGAAGAGCCGTCTGAGCAAGCTGGGGTTATTCAGCCTTGAGAAAAGAAATCCTGAGAGAGTGAACATCTCCATATACATAAATAACTGTGGGTGGGAGTAAAAAGTGGGTGGGAGTAAAAAGACTGAGACAGTCTCTTCTCGGTTGTACCCAGGGGAGTTGCAAGACAATGGGCACAAATCAAAATACAGGGAATTCCACGTAAAGCATAAGAAGTATTTTTGTCGCATGAGAGTGGTCAAACAGTGCAACAGGCTGCCCAGAATGGTTGTGGAGTCTCTATCCACAGAGGTATTCAAAACCCACTGAGGGGCAGTCCTGGACGGCCTGCTGCAGACGACTCTTCTTTGAGCAAGGGGTTGGACTAAGAAGTCTTCAGAGGAGCAACAATTCTGTGACTGTGGGAAACTTTCCTACAGTTCCACACAGCAATGCGATCAGGTAAGTACTTATCCAGCTGTGATGACATCTTTATTCTGATCTATATTATGATCTTTGACTTCTGAAAAATCACAAGTATAAAAATAATTGCCATTGTTTTGTCTCCATATTTGGATTTATCTACATTAGAGCTCAAGTGAGTTTTGGAATTTATTATGGTAGTTGCCTATCCCACCTGTGTCTGCTGCTAGCTCAACATCATCCAAGCAGAGCTGCCTCACCAGCACTGTCAGCAGTGTGTCCTTTACCATTTCAAGGTGATGGCGCAGGCGTTAAACTAACTAAAGTGGCAAAATAGCAATTGGAAGAAAGTGGGAAAAATGAGAATGTCAGTGGCTTCTTCTCAGTTTTAGTACTTCTGAGCAGAGACAGCTGTATTTTCATGAACACAAACAAATGAGTTTCAGTGTGATTAGTCAGCTGTGAGTCAGTCAAGGTCTGCAGGAGCAGATACTGCTTTTGAGGGAGATGCTCTTTGAGTTCTTTGAGCTTTTAAGTCCAAAGGAGCACGTTGGCATTTGAGCTTGTTCTTATTTGAAAAGAGATGGGGGGGTTGCTGGACTATAGCTGTGTCTGCAATCTTTATCAGTACCCATTTGCCCTGCATAAATGCATAAAGATGCTGAGTGGGAGGCAGGCGCCCCCTCCTTACTCCTGGCTTTTACATGGTGTTTTTGTGCCACCTAGTGGACCTGGGTCTTTTCAAGCAATCATGGCACGTCCTGGACAGGTTTGGGTTTCTCCATAGAAATTCTAGATTTTTAATATTTCAGTAATAAAAGCTACTAAACCCAAAGTGAAAAAAATTGCTAATAAAGCTACGTGTGCCTAAAGCCCATTTATCACTTTGCCACTGAGGTTTGTGACTGCATTACTTTACAGAAATTGTCAGTTCTCAAGGGAAAAGTAAAATCTCATTTTAACTTATTTTCTGCTCCAGACAAGTAAGAAGATAGACCTTTGCCAAGAAAGGTCTCATGTAATTGAGCAATTTCACTGATCTGAAGGAACTGGCAAAGGCTGAATTCACCTCTTTCCTGGTGGCTACTTTTGAAGTTTTCTCTCTGTACCATCCAATTCTACGTCTTAAAAATGTGCAAGCGCTGCAATAGCAACAAAGCAAAACACAGCAAACCCCCTGAATCTTTTGGAGGAGTGTTACAAAATTTAGCTCTGGTAATTGAGGTGCTTTGTATACATATGTTTTGGATTTAAATATATTTATATTTTATATATATATATATATGCACTTGCAAATGTAAAGATAGCATTCAATATACTTAACAGCCACCTAAATACTAGAGCTGGTGCATGAGCTTAAAATTCCGAGTTATCTGTGCCCTGTATCCTATAGCTTTGGTTGTGAAGGGACTGAAAAGGGAATGGACTGCACCTCCTAGGACTTGTATGACTGGTCATCTCTAGAAGCTTGCAGGTGAAAAAGTGATTCCTAACAACTGACACTTATTTCAGAGTCGCAGACTAGTTTCTTACACAAGTATCACTTTGACTCAGGAATTCACTGAGCTACAAATCACTAAGGAGGGGGAGAGTATCGGTAAATGCCTGCCTAAACTTATAATCCTTCCTTTAAAACATCTGTTACTGGGCACAGTCAGAGACAAAAGAAGCATGAGAGAACTCTTTGATCTGACCCAGCATGGGTGTCATTTTTCTGTAAGACCCAGTTCTTTTTAAGAATACCAGAAGGACCACTTCTGACTGGGTCAAAAAATTAAAAAAAAACAGGCAAAATACAAAGCTGTAAGACCTTATGCTCCAGGGAGCATCTGAATCTGGAGAGGTGGCTGGCAAAACACATCTTTCTCCGCAGTTGAAGATCATGAATCACATAATCAATTTTAGTTCAGAAAGTGGAAGAGTCTGGATGGAACTAAATGCAGCAGCATGTGCTTTTATCGTGTTCTCTTTGGGAAACTCAGGAAACAGGTGTTCAGCACTGGTAAAATCTTGCTGTTGATACCTGAATTGGAAGAGTGGGGCCCCAGAAGAGCTGATACAAATACGGATATGAGAAAGAAGGGGAGGCTCATTTCTCTACTGCCATGTTGGGGAGCAGCTGATTTTTGTTGTATTTCTTGTAGTTCATCCTATTTTTTTTTTAGGAAAGGAAGGGGATAAGTATTTGTGTAGCTATAGCACTAGCCAGGCACTGGATTCAGACTTCAGCCTTGCTGTGAGAAGAGAACAAATGGGTGTTCAGAGCCGGGGTGCAGCCGTAGCTGTGGATCTCCTCTCCTCCGGAGCTGTTCTCTTCTTCGGGCAGTGCAACGGTGCTGGGTCCCGGTGAATCCAGGTAAGTCCAGCCTTACCTCTTGCTTCCCAACGGGAGGAGCCGAGCGCTGCCCGCTCGAGGGCCGGGATGCGGGAGGGGCTGGGGCGCGGCGCTGCGGGGCGCCCGTGAGCGGCGGCGGCCGCGCTGCCATGGGGCGGCCGCCGCGGGGGCGGCATCCGACGGGCTGGGCGGCGGCACCGGCTCCCGCAGCAGCCACCGGCTCTTCCCTTCTGGCAGCGGGGAGAGAGAGTACAGGTAGGAAGGACCCTGCCGTCCCACCCCTTCCCCACCGCGCAAGGGCCGCCGCGGTGCCGGCAGCGGGAGGGATCCTCGCCGCAGCCCGGGGCTCCGCATCCCCCTCGGGGCTCCGCATCCCCCTCGGGGCTCTGCATCCCGCTTGGGGCTCTGCATCCCGGCCTCGCCGCTCCGGCGTCGGCGGCTGCGCTTTGCCCCGGCCGCGCCTCGGGAGCGCTCGCCGTGCGGGGCCGCCCGCTGCTGTGCGGGGCCGTGCGGGGGTGTCCCTGCCGCTTTGTGCTGCCCGGTCTGCGCTGCTTGTGCCCTCTCGCTCGGCAATGCAAGCGGCGAGCAGGCGGGGGACAGGAGGCTGCGCCGGGAGGACGGCCAGAAACCCCCCCGTGAGTAGTTCCCGGCCGCTGTTGGGCTGCCTTTGTTCTGTGGAAGGTGTAAGGAGGCGTGAGGGTGATTTTGGGAAGGTGTCACTTCGTTGCTGCCGCGGAATTCAATGGCTGGGCTGGTTCTCCCCAGTTCCTTCTGCTTCCCCTTTGTTAGCGTTTTCCCAGGGAATCCTGTATTGTTTCAGCTTCGTTGAAAAGCGGGAGCTGTCAGAGAGATGACTTTGTTCACGGCGATGCTCCTCCAGAGCAGCATCGCTTTGTTCGAGCTCCCGTAAGCCATTTGTCACACAAGTGCCACCGCGATGCTGTAACGAGCCGGCTGCCTTCCGCGGCTGGCAGGCAGCGGGGCCGCGTCCCTCTTCCTTACTCTTTCCCAGCAGCTGGAGCAGGTAAGCTGGAAGTAACACCATTTCACATGGGAAATCGTTGTCTTGCGCCATCTCGTCAGTTAGAAAACGTCTGTTTCGGGGACAGAAATATGTGTAGCACGCACCTTTTCTATTTCATGGAGACATTTTTAATGAATGACGGTTTGGGTTTTGTTTGGTGGGGTTTTTTTTTTGGTTTTTTTTTTTTGGTTTTTTGTTTGTTTGTTTGTTTGTTTTTCATTAATTAATTTTGCTGGGATTGCCGCGAGTCAGTTACAAATCTAGTTCTTTGTAGCTGTAGTATGTAAAACATCACTATGCCTCTGCTCTGTCATTTTAAGTGTAAAAATGCCCAGTTAAAAAGACAGTTCAAGGGGTAAGTAGAGACCTGGAAACCACAACTCTGCATCCTGAAAATTTAATATGCCTGACAATAATGGCACTGAAAATGATCTGCTGCTGGGGGGATGGGGCCGTGGAGAAAGAGAAGAGTAATTTGCAACCACAGGCCTAATAATAGACATTCTGTCGATAATAGATACACAGATAATAGATAATCTAATTTGTTATATTCTCAAACAGATTTTTTGTACATACCTTAAACAGTGCATAGCAACTGTATGAAAAGAGCTCTTTTCTGAGACTCTGAGCTATATAAGCTACCTGATAGCAGTAACATGTAGCAGGTTCTATGTTTTAACAGATTAAAGATGAAAAATTAGTCAGAACTGACTTTTATTTGGTATTTAGTAACGCACACTCAATAAATTACCATCCGAAATAACTCTAATTGCACCTTGCATAGACAATTATGTCTTCTAACTATATCAAAACATTAATCAATGGGCATAAATATTATCGTGAGTTTCTTTAACAAAGACATTGATATATTTTAATACAGGGAGTAGTTAGCAGTTCTGTACATCACTTACTTTAGGTGGTTTGAATCCAGGTCAGAAATTCATCTAATGGACAAATTCAACTCTTCCTTGGCTGCTATCAGTTTACCAGATTGCAGGTTGTGTTTGCGGTTGAATATTTCGTGCCAACAATGAGCTTGAATTCAACACTAAAGTGTATTGAAACTTTATGTGAAAGTGATTTGTATATTTATGTTCTAGTTGGACAATAATTACAAGAACTACCTTGAAATATTTGTAATAAATATGGCACGTAGTAAAGAGACTGCTGCTGGTTGGTATTGGGTCTTTCTTGTCCAATAAGAAAATGTATCTCAGAGCATCCTGTTGTCATATCCATTTGGGCAACCCTACCTTTTAGAGAGAATTGCTTGACAATTTTGAGCAATTATTATTTTTCCTATATGCCATGTTACTGGGTTTTTAGAAGTGCACTGGCAGCAAACACAGTTGGTTTGAAGTATGAATGACTTGCTGGGTCCTGTGCTAAAAATGTCCACTTTTTTCCTTCTTCCCCCACCAGGGTTTGTCCCTTATAGATCTTATTTTGGTCAGTTTTCTTGTGAGATTATGCAGGTAGTAGCAGTTGTGAACTGGAAATGCATTCAGTAAAATATTTTTTTAAACACACAGTTCCTGAATACTTAAACAAAATTTATTTACTATTAAAAAGCACTGTTTGGCCATAAGATTTTACTTTAAATGCTAGTACTAAAATACAGCCCTTTTTGGTTTCACACTTCTGATTACAGCAGTAAGAATAACTTTTGTAGTTTATTCTGCTTTGGCTCTTAGTCACCTTATTGTATTGCCGGGTATTTCTCTCACTGAAAATGGATGTGGTTGTGTGAGTAATATAGTTTAGGGTTATTTCAATATCCATACTGTAGATGTGTCAGGTAAGCTCTTTTTAAATAAGAAACACATGGCATAATAAGTGCTGACTGAAATGTGATGATGAGTTTGTGAATATGAATATGTTTGGTTGTTGTTTTACAATGAAGTCTAACATAAACAGAATTTTTATATAGACAGTATAAGCTTGAATGACTGTTTTGACTTTTTTTCCTCACAAACCAAGGGAGTACTTTTTTTTTATATTCTGAATTATTCATGTTTGAAAATCGCTGACTTCAATTGTTAAAGGATTTTTTTTCCCTCCCACAAAATCAATGCACAGTCTTTATTCCATAAAGGCCTAGATAAGAGAGTTATAGCAAAAATGGATAAGCCTACTAATTTCACGTTAGAAAAGTACAGTTAATTTCTTTGGAGTCAACAGACTTAGGGCATTCTAGTTACATAATAGCTCCATCAGCATGGTGTAAATGGTGAGATGCTCTAAATGTTGAGATGCTCTAAATATCTGTGTATTGTCATTGATACAATGAATTTGGAAAAGAATGAAGTTGTGTAAAGTGCACATTAAAGTAGAATTAATAGGTGTTGAATAATGTGATAGAAGGTAATGTGAAGTTACAGGGTTAACTTTAATTACATTAGTGCTTCTACTGGAGGGGCCAAATTCTATTTTTTATCTATTATTTAATCAATTATTGATGGATAAAATTGTGTTTATTTCCATGGAGACTCCATGATTTCTGTCTTTAGTGAGTTGTTGTGTAGATCTTACGCTTATTGTTTCACATCACTTCCTGAAGGGACTTTCACTCCTTTTGATTCTCTTCATTGCATATCATAGGATTTCTCTTTTTAAGAGGTAAAATATTTTTATACAAGCATCCAGCATCTGCCATTGCTTTACATTCAGCATGTAGGCTTAAACTGTTGAAGCCTTACAAAGAAATAAAATTGACTTGTAACGAATAATTTTTAATGAATACTGGTCAAGAGCCAGTGCATCACATGGGCTAAATCCCAGTGATTTGGTGATTAAGTTTGGTGGGAAGAAAAATGTAAAGATCTTGATGCTTTTTATCCCAGGTGTCTTATACTGCTGTTGTGCCACACATTGATGAAGGTTATTCAGGTGCTACTACAAAAGTGTAAAGTACATCGATATATTTCTTAACATAGTTCAGTTTCTCCTTTGTATATGCATGTTGTGTGCCAAATTACAGGAATACAAGTTTTGTGCCTCTAACAAGGCTGTTTAAGAAAATACTGTCCTATGCAGCTGATTTTTAGTTCATGGGACTGAATGATGTAGCTGAGTAAGGGTAGTTAATGACTTTTCTGCTGACTACCTTAATTTGTGATCACCAACACATGCAGTCAAATGAGTTAAGTCAATTGCTTCACACCCCAAGGATGCTTCAAAATGGTTAAGCTTATAGTTTTAATTATAACACGTGCAGAAGTTTTATTTTCTTCACCATTATTGCCTTAAGAAAAACAGTGTGAAAATTATCCAAATAAGTAAAAGCTTTCCTCGCAATTTAGTGTTTGGGAGTACAAAATGCTGTGCACGCTGCTGACCTGCTTGGCCGTCTTTTTCATTACTCAGCATGTTTTGAAAATCAGCCTTCAGACTTGGGCAGCTTCATAAAGCAGCTCAGCCTAGTGATTTGTGCTGAGGCTTCTGTAGGAGGATGCTGCACATAAAAGATTATGTTTATTGTTAAGTTGAAATGTGGAGGGAGTGTGATGGAAAGAATTAAAGTGAAATGAACCATACAAGATTCTGACTTTCATGTTGCTCTTCAAAGTAACACGTTGTCTTTCTGTGTAGCCTTTCAGAAAGCCACTTTTGAAACTCCTTAGCAAGGGGAAAAAAAGTGCAAAAAAGTACAATTATAGTGATCTGTGGAACAGTTTGGGTCAGAAGAGAAAAACAGTGACAGAAAGCCCTGTGAATCTATGGTATCTGTGGGTGTCTGTTGGAGCACACATGAGATAGCTGGGTTGAGTGGCATCATCTGCCAACAGAATTGAACTATATTTACTGTTGTAGAACCTTTTTTCTGCTTCTCATAACTTTGGCAAATTTTAGCCATGTAATCACGTCTTTATGACTCAGGCTAATTTTTCTTTTAATTAATTAATTGAGAATTAGACTAGTTGATTTGTCTTGTTAAAGAAAAAAAATCCTAAGATATTTCAGAAACATGATATTGCCATTCTGGTTTTTAGCTAGGTTCTGGGTCTTGCTAAAACAGTGTCCCTTTGTTGAAGATCTGCATTTTTATTAACTTCATGAAAGGTTGCCCAAATTTTTTGTCTTATGTCTTCCAAATATTGTAGTTTTCATCCATTCACCTGTGAAAACTGTAGCATATTTTTATTCAACGTTTATTCAATGCCCAATACTACAGTGTATTTTTAACAGTGACCTCAGTGGTGCTTGCTACATCTGCAGCAGCAGTCGGAGAGGGACTGGATTATACTGGAGACAGAATTAAAATTAAGTTGTTCAACAGGAGAAATACATTGTAGTTATCAACTGTATAAGGAAGGGATTGGGTGGTAATTCTTGGGAAGAGCTGTGGTTTATGGTACTTAAGGAGTAGCTGCAGTAAAGACAAATGTTGTTTTGTGATGTATAGATAGGACGATACCATGGAAGGCATGAGAAGTCCTCCTTAGCTGTAACCCCATGCCCGAATGGGCTGTACACTTCAAGAAAGATGTATATGAATTGGAGAGCATACAGAGGAGAAGGATGAAAATAATTAAAAGATTTAGAAAATATGGCCTATGAAGGAATGTTGAAATGTCTGAAGTTGTTTCAGCTCAAAGGAATAAAGAGTGTCAGGGTGAACAAGACATGGTAACTTTCTAATGTCACAAAGCTGTTGTGAAGCAATGTTGTCCATGCCTGTGGTCAATGATATGCAATATGGGTTCAGAATTAATGAAGTTGAAGCAATAGAATAGATTACTAAATTCAGATTTTCATGATTTTAGCATCATTAAAAGTTGTTTGAATGTTAGTCAGGAACAACAAGGAGAAGATGACAAAGAGCCAACAGAGATGAAATCACACAACCCAGAAAGTTATGTTGGAGACTATGGGAAGTAATTAAAGGCTGGAAGAAAATGGCAGTGTCTTTCCTCTCAAGATTACATGGTCTTCTAAATGTTAGCTGAGAGCCCATGATTGTGTCTTAGCATTTGTGCTCTGGGAGATGCATCGTTAAG